GTAACCGACAAACTCCGAAATTGAATAAAATTCACAGTTGAATAGGGTTAGGGTAAGTTAGGAGTGGGATTATGGTTAGGATTAGGGTACTAAGTCATTGAACTGCAAAGACCATCGATTAAACTATGACTTGGACATTTGACTCGGGCTCGGATTTGAGTCGGTCAGTAACCGACAAACTCCGAAATTGAATAAAATTCACAGTTGAATAGGGTTAGGGTAAGTTAGGAGTGGGATTATGGTTAGGATTAGGGTACTAAGTCATTGAACTGCAAAGACCATCGATTAAACTATGACTTGGACATTTGACTCGGGCTCGGATTTGAGTCGGTCAGTAACCGACAAACTCCGAAATTGAATAAAATTCACAGTTGAATAGGGTTAGGGTAAGTTAGGAGTGGGATTATGGTTAGGATTAGGGTACTAAGTCATTGAACTGCAAAGACCATCGATTAAACTATGACTTGGACATTTGACTCGGGCTCGGATTTGAGTCGGTCAGTAACCGACAAACTCCGAAATTGAATAAAATTCACAGTTGAATAGGGTTAGGGTAAGTTAGGAGTGGGATTATGGTTAGGATTAGGGTACTAAGTCATTGAACTGCAAAGACCATCGATTAAACTATGACTTGGACATTTGACTCGGGCTCGGATTTGACTTGGACTCGGATTTGACTTGGACTCGGATTTGACTCGGTTAACCGACAAACTCAGTTGCGGCATTGTGAAATGTATGCATTAAACTTTAGGAAAATTTCGTTACTAGTTATAGCTTACTCGCCGCTTTTCCTTTAATTAATTACGGCTTTAGAGAATTAGAGTGAGTTTAGCCTGAAAGGAGTGAACGAGTTACGACATTGAGTTGCATATGAGTTCGCTTGTATATCTATTCGATCATTCTTTTATTCTTTAGTTGACGGTTCTGTTCATATATTCATACAAATTCTACCAAATTTGTTTCATGCAACGTGTAATGCGAATGAAATTTTGACCCGGTATACAACAATGTTTGAACATTAATATAATGTACGTCGAATCAGTGACATGTCCTTTTAAATCTTGTACTCATATATACTTCAATGCGGAACGATCAACGATCTACAGGGTGTATCAATAAAAACGCAACCTCGGAATTTCCTAAGAAATCACGTTGCAATTCTTAAGCATAAAAGATTTTAGGCCCCTGGGAATTGAAATCGAATTGCTAATAGATCATATTACTGTTGTTGTGCATAAATTTTGCTTTATGCACTCGCGTGTGCAGTAATTTTGACAGTTATGCTATTTTAAATTCCCAGGCGCCTAAAATCTTTTGTCTTTAAAACAACGCCGATCTCTTGGGAAATTCCGAGGTTGCGCTTTTTTTTATACACCCTGTATACTTTTAAGATCAGTTCATAACAACATAATTATTAATAACTTACTGACCTCAACCGTTCGGGCAGTACGGGAAAATATCCAACCGAGGTCTTGCTGTATTGACCGAGCGATAGCGAGGTCAATACAGCAAGACCGAGGTTGGATATTTTCCCGTACTGCCCGAACGGTTGAGGTCAGTAAGTTTTTTATTATATGGCATTGTACGTTTGTAAAAAATGGGGAAAAAGGGTCACGCGAGGGCAAAGTACAAAGTCCGAAACATTTGCAAAAAAGAACAATTGTAAAAAATGTTCTCAAGCTTGGTTAGTAAAACTACTCTACAGCAATTTTTATATAGAATACTAACACAGTTGGATAGTATTTCAAGAAAAATACGAGGTATTTCGTCATTTAATCAAAGACAAAGACAACAAATATGAAAACAATAAAATTAATAAACAGTATGGACAAGTACGTTTTTAGTTCGCTTCATCTCATAAATATATCTCTTTTTATCGAAAAACCCCAGAAATTTTCAGGGAAAAAATATAAATCTGTGGCTGCTTTAGTTGTATTTTTTATTTAGGATGGTGTCAAATTCCTCGGCTATCTGCAAATAAGATTTGCAGCTCTTCACAAAGTCAAAACACAGCTATTCCTGACTTCTTTAATAGTTATAAACATTGTAAAATTTACCTTGTAATTTCGACTTTCGCTAACAAAAACATATTGAGAAAGTTCTTTATCCAAAGAAGGTGCTCCTTTTCTTTAGTTTAGGTTTATTTTTCTTTGTTTTGAATAGTTTTGAAAGACTTTTAGACACTTTTTGCCGTTTGAAATTCGGCTCTTGTCGCGGGGCAAAAAAATTGCGTATTGCCCGTGGCACAGTTTAATGTGCCCGTGGGCAATAGGGGAAAATCCTGCCTCGTCAGCAGCCAATCAAATTGCGCGATTCATCAAAACAAATGCTTGCCATATAATAAATATCTTTATTATATAAACTATAGTGCTTTGTATAGTGCTATTTCCGCGCACCCATGTATTATTCTCTGTATATTTAATAATACAATTATCTTCATCTGTCCATCTAACAGTAAAATCTACACTTAGCCTTAGGTCGCTATTATGCACCTTATTAGCACATACCTTTATGTAACCAATCAAATTTGAGATTTTTGGCTATGCAAATTTTATAACTGAATATAAGCTCGTTTACGTCCTTAGATGTAGGTCAACTAATAGCTATATAGTATGTATATGTATAAGTTATTAATTTACAAGCTATTTATTGTCCTTTCTTGCAACTCGTCGTGTATATTAAACAATTATAGACTTTCAGTTAATAAAAGTTAACATAATTTATGACTGAATATAATAAGAGAAAAAAATATTTCAACAATAATATATTTTACTTTGTACAACAATAATACATTTTACTCTTTAAAAGTTAGTTTAATTAAACATGGAAACTAAATACTGCCGAATTATATAAAAATGTTTCTTATAGCGAATGTCAGTACTAATTCTATGATTTCTCTAAAACAGTCACATTTCTCGTCTATATATACAATATTATAATATAACATTTATAGCACGCGATGTTTTAATAGTTTTATAAATTCTGACAACCAAATTAAGGAACCCACAAGACAAGGAAGGAATTCTCAGTTTAAATGAGAAGAACTTGACTATTTTATAATCAAATGGACTTTATGCTGAGGTGTGATAAATGAGAATTTGTAAATTAATCAATATAAAAAATGGCTATAAATCTTTTCTTGAATTATATTATATTATAAAAGAAACAGAAAAAATGTTTTGCTGTGTTTCTATACAGTTATTGAAACACTTGTGGTAGTTTGGGAAAACTCGAAATAACGTGGAATAACATAACTCGCCTTTCCTATACTGATTATTTCTCCCGTTCTCCCAAACACCATGCGTGTTTCTGTAACTGTATACTGAGAAACACGGGGAATAAAAGGCAATCGAGTACAGCATCCTGGCTGCCGAAAATAGTTTTCATGCAATCGATCAATATAGAATAATTATACAAGCACAATCATGATTGTGTGAATCAGTAACACGTCATTCTATTCTAAATGATGGCTAGTGCCTAAACCATTACTATATACACTAGACATTCAACTTAAAAAGGTTGAATTTGGTTGAATCATTCAACTAAAAACCACCTCAGTGATCAAACTCCGACTTTGGTCTTGTTTCACAAAACATGTTTTACACATGCACATCTACATGATTCTACATGGATGGTTCTTCAAAACACCGGTAAAGAAGCATCGGTGGATATTTTCAGGATGGCACTACCGCAAAGCGATCTGTAACAGTAATCATTTTCTTCCACCTTGTAGCACGTGGGCGGAGGAACCTTGTTGAAGTAATAATCACCAATAGATTGCGACATCTTAGTGTTAACCTGCTTGAGGCAATTGAAGAAGTCATTCTCATCTGCGCATTTATAGCGTAGGTCATCGTTGATCTCCAAGAGTTCTGACTTAAAGTGCTCTTTGCAACATTTGTTTGTCAGCTGAAAATGAAAAGAATTTTGATATAAATATTACTGTAGGCCTAATCATAACGACCAAGGAATGCTTTTCTAACCAACTTTAACGCATGTAGTAAGTCTGCGTGGAATAAGGCTGGAGCAGCTGCGGAAAATGCAACTTTAGGCCCTCCTGCATGAATCGAACTTGCAGTTCTGCGATCCGGTGCAACTATATATACAAGAACTTGTGGTTAATGCTCGGCAACTGGGCTCTGTAGCTCAGTAGTTAGAGCGGTGCACTAGATTTTCAGCGTTGCATATTCGATTTCTGCCTGAGGGACTAAAAAATTCCATCTACTAAAATTCAGTTCTATCGAACGAGATGCATACCCAGTATAATAGAGACCTCAGTATTATAGAAAAGTAACGTTACCATTATGATAATTATGGTGCATGATAAGCAGATGAGAACTGATCAAAATGTAAACTAAGGAAGAACATCTCTAAACATGCTGTTGATGATTCCGTTCATTATATGGATCATAATACTTAAGATGTTAATTGAAATGGATGAAAAGACAAGGCGAATGGATAATGTTTCCTTTGTATTTGGTTAAATCAACTAAATAAAAATGATGTTTTGGAAAACATTGAAGATCTATAGTAACTAAGGTTGGCAAGACCATTTTTTTCGCTGGTCAGAATTTCGACGAGTTGAACGTACACACAGGTGCTTTTCATATAATGAAGAATTATCAAACCCTTGGTACACATGTGTGTGCTATACTTGGGAATTGTTATTTATCACTTAAATTGGCTTTATTACTGCAATCTTGCCGACTTGCCCTTAAAGAACTGAAGAAGTCAGCAGGGAGTTTCCTATAGAACTGAGTTAAAACTATTGACCTTTAACTGTTAATGAATATAAATGGACTTAAGAAAATTGAGATTTAAAAGTAGGCAAGACGGCGATTAGTGCAAATTAACTGCTTTTCATTATCATTAATGTGTATGGTTCAATTCCGGTTATCTGTCATTTAACAATTGAAGTTTACGAACAAGTCAATAAACTGTCACACATCTCTGGCGACAATAAGTGTTAGCAATAATTACCAAACACAATTTCACGACATGATGTGTATTGAGTAGTAGACACACTGGAGATCTTGAAAGATATTTGGCAATGCGAATGATCGTGAATAACACCCAACCGTGAACTACAGGTTGGTTAATTGACGTGGGTAAATTTTATGGGGTTACACAATTTGTGAGAATTTCACAGCGCTATATAATCTCGCCAGACAACCAGAAGATTCTAAACCATTTAAGATTTTTGGCACCATAGTAGACTTAAACTGTTTATTTCATTTCCCAATGGCCTCGTCTCCATGTTTCCCTATTTTAGCATGGCAGGCGTACATGCAGTTATATCCCCATGTTTCGTGCACGTGAATATGTTTCTATTCTAGATAGGAACATATTCGTGCACGAATATGTTCCCATCTATAACCGTACTGCGCACAACACATGTGGAAACTGACCCACATGAAAACGAGGTCATCGTGGCAAGACTGCACAAAAAAAACCAGTCTACTAATTAAGGTTTTGTATATCATTCAAGTTTAATCTTTCTATATGATATCATTCTCAGTAGATTAAACAGTTGTAATTGCTTTTCTTGAAGTTTGAAGTCATATAGCCCAGCAACACGCATTCTTCAAACTGGTGTTGTTTTGTCACTTGCACAACCGACATCAATTATATCAAATACTATAACAATGATATGCATTTATTTATATTATTTCCTATTGAATAAAGAGTATTTAAATAACAAACAAAATAAGAGAAATAACTAAAAATTTTTGCCTGCATTTTTAATTCCCCCACCTATATATTTATGTATTTACCATGGAAGCATAAACTACAAATAGGAAGAATCATGACTGTTTACTCAATAACGTTATTCAATATGCATGATGGAGTGCATTATTGTTTACATTATTATTCATTGTACTCAGCATGTACTTGTTTTGGGTGGTTATAGATTAATGTCTCGCTGTTTGAATGAATGCTGAGCTCTTCCTTACCCTTACCTTGACCCTGGTTCACACGAGTGACATAAGCACAAGTATAATCCTGCAGCACAGCCTCGTCCCCATGCTCCGACTCAGACGCGCGGGTTCCGAAGCAAGGCTGCCTGCAGCACACGAGAGCTATCTGCTGAGCAAAAAGTTACTCGTGCCTGTTAGTTCAGCCGATAGCTCACCGTGTGTGGGTACATTTCACTGAGTTTTATGCCTCATGCAACCTTTTCTCGCGTATCAAACATGTTTGATCGGTGAGCTATCGGCTGAGCTAACAGGCACGAGTCACTTTTTGCTCAGCAGATAGCTCTCGTGTGCTGCAGGCTGCTCTAAGCATAAGCATGCATAGCCTATCGAAGGGAAGATGGCTGTGAAACTCTTTAGAATAACAATATAACTCATTTCTATGTTGGTCAACGTTTATACATGAAATCTGATCCTGCAGCCATCTTCCCATTGATAGGCTGTGGCATAAGGTAAGGGAAACTCTGGGAAAGAAAAAACATGAAAAGAAAGTGCTTCGTAAGTCCCAAAGCCAAGGTAAAATTTTCTTTTGTAATCGTGCTAGCTTGTGTTTACAGCGTGCTTGTGCTTGACATGAACCAATATCTATAGCTATTATATTGGGCGGAGTACGATAATATACAGCGGTATATATTATCATTCTGTAAAATGTTGGACATCCTGCTCGCTTTTGGATATCCTCATTCAATAATTCTTATATTCCATACTGGCATACAACATTATAATTATGACTTATTGTAATAATTATGTATGGTAATCATCCAACACCACTATAGTTTTTCAACCGGTTTTATTTAGACATGCAACAGCCAATAAGTATTCTGACCAACATCTCTAATCTCTATTCATGCGTTGAAAATGAAATCCATACTTTCTGACCTTCGATTCCCTCCCTCGTTTTAATAGCCTGCGCGGCAGGCGGTATTTCTACAGGCAGCGAAAATTAGGGAGTCATAGGAAATACCGTCTGCCGCAAAACTAGGGGTTTTTGAATTACCCGTCCGCTGGTGAACGGAAAAAACGGATTGGTTAGTATTTTTATGTACTTGTCAATCAACGGCTAAATTTGGTTAAATGTTAATCATTAACCAAATGTTTTGACGTTTTGAAACTCTGCGTTTTGAAATTAGTTCACGTCAAGTCAGACCAGAAATGGAATACCATAATAAAAGAAGCAAATTTAAAGATACAAGCTGAAAAATAACACTCTAAGTAGTGTTTTTGATAGCGATTCGTACAAGAATATTTAACAAAGAAGATACGTCCGAAGGGGCTGAAGTTATGATCAGCGAAAGGTATGGGCTAGTCTATATTTTCGTTCAGACAATTACATGCGTATTAATTTGATAATATACGATCTCGCTTGACTTTCAAAGACCATAAATCGCAATAATGTTGACATTTTACTAAAACTATCGATAGAAATTAGGAGATATTTCTTCACTGAATCGAACGGTGGGATTTTCATATAGGCCCGTCATGTTCTGAACCAAAGATACTTGATAGATATACGAACCTCCAAAGTATGAACTAGGGGCCGGTTGATGCAGTAATTATCAAATAACAGTTAAACTCTTATATACCCGTTGAATATGTATAGTTGTAAACAAATAAAAACTATCGTTCTATAAGGTTCAAAACTTTCAGTTTGGTTGTTGACTGATGATGAATCTATAGTATAGACTTGCATGCTCTGTATTTTGAGCTTATTAAACCACCGTTTTAAGGCAGCTAAACGAGCTTGGTTTATATTAACACATAAAATAAATTCCTTGATTCTCATCACTAGACACAGTCTACACTTTGAAATGTCAAAGACAGTGGGAGATTTATTTTTTATATTTTATATTTATATAATTTATATATCAATAGTTCGTATCTCCACGAACAATGACAGAATGACTGAATTTCTTTAAAATACAATGAAATTTCATTCAAAATTCTGTTTGTTTCAAAATGGAAATTTAAAATGGCAATAAAAACCCTATATAAAATATTTAAAAATTAACTGTCTTGAATTATTTTTTCGGGCGGTACATTTATATTGTATAACAAAATATAAAACATTTTCACGAGGATTTTAAAATTCAGTCGGGCGGTGATGAGAATCAAGGAATTTATTTTATGTTGGGCAGTTGGGACTTGGGAGCAACTTGGGAGTGGCTAATTTTGAATATTTACTTAATGACATCTATAAATAGCTTTGATGCTTCAGGGGCGGTAGTTCATTTACACCCAGTTTTGCGGCAGGCGGTATTTCCTAGTACCGCCTGCCATGCAGGCTATCGTTTTAAGGAAAATATCCATTTATTAATCATTACTGCATTTTGATATTGTTGTAATTTTTACTATTACTGTGCATAGAACAAAGTAATTAGTAATCATAATTTAAATTAATTTGATAAGTAATTAGCAATTTGTAATTTACTACTTTTGAAAGAAAGTGATTTGTAATTTTTTCTCATTACTATTTTTTGGTAAGTTTTACAACAACGCTTCCTTTAAAAAGCTAGCTTAATTTAATCGAATGTATACTTTGTGGTTAAAGCAAAGTATAAAGCCATTGCATGCACAACAGGAATGTATACTCAAGCAATCATTTTGCTTTGTTTCAGTAACGGCTCTCGGTTTAAATATCACCAGTAAATTATTCCAGAGGCAAAGCAAATTAATGATCATAATCCCTCTTTTTGTCAGATGATCTCTCAAATTAGAAAACGTGCAGTGGAGATAACATGCACTTTGTAAAATTTAAAGAGAGGATATATGTTTTCGGTATATAAATCAAATTACTACAATGGAAAATGAAAATGGAACCTCTCATGCATCTCTTGCATTTAATTTCTGGTACAAGAAGCAACGGTCCCCACCCCCTCCCCCCTCCCATACAGATTGGCGTACGATTGGTCTTCTATTGTGCAGTAATTCGTTCTGTTCTCGATACGGAGCGCAAATTTGGAGCGGTGGTTTAAGACAAATGCAAAAGAAAAACATAGAAAGAATTCAAAACCGTGCCCTGAGAATAATTTATCCAGGCCATGGCGGTGACTATTATTAACTTCTGTTAATCTAAAGCAATCTACCGACCTTAGAACGACGCGGGAAAAACTATGCACTTCCCTATTCCCTAATCGAGGATATCGGTTGGAACGATCACACATACTTCTCGGACAAGTACTGTTACCAAAGAAGGAGATTGAAATGAGAGAAAGAAATACCATGCAGGGCAAATGGAGATAAGATGTATAACTTATTTTGAAATAGTCCTTTATGCAATTAATGAGTACAATTTTAAATTAGATAGATAGAACTTTTAGCATAATCATATTAATGCACAAATAAATATATATTAGGTAATTTTAAATACACATAGCCAGGGTAATTGATGTTAATAATTTTGTAAATAATTTTAATGCTGTAAACACAATATTCACACTTGATCCTGCGTTATCCATAACTTACCCAAAATTTATCCACATAGAAACACAAAGCTACACAAGTAGAAAGTGTCCTAAACGATCCTAATTATCCCTAGTTGAATAGCCTAATAAGTTGGGTTCGCAGTTCAATAATCTCATACTGATAAAAATCCTAGTTTGTGACACCGACAACGAAAAAAAAACACTTGATAAAAGATTCGAGCCCATTTTCAGACGCTGTCTCAACCAGTGTAACAAGTCATAAAATCTAGTTTGCTTGTGAATAATCTTGAGCCTGCATTTCAATAACGGTACGTCAATTTGAGTTTGAGTTATTCAGTTCATGTATTAAAACCCTATAACGCCTGGCGGTAACATATGTGTACACATTTCAGAGCAAACATGACGTCAGATTTCAGTCTAATTTCGGTGTATGTTGTTGACTTGTACTTCGTGTAATAATTATACAGAGTATCCCAAAACCTTCTTTTGACTTTTGAGTGATGGGAATTAGTGGCGGCAAGTAAACATGGCGTCGTTCGGTATTATTGATAATTTCTTCCAAATTTTGGTTTATTTTGTCATAAAAAGCGATAACATAATATGAGGAAGTTAAGATACGTGACAAATGAAACCACTGGCCTCTTCAGTTTGAGAAGCCTCGACGTTGCAAAAACACTGGTTGTAGCAGAACAGCAAGGTTTTTGTGCTCAAAGACAAAGTGCCAAGTGTACCTGTGCGTATAAACAGGGACAACATGCTTTTTGGATTGCCATGGCATAACTTCTGCATAACTGTACCATTCTTGTAAATATTATATGATTTTCATTATACTCAGATCATTAAAAAATTATGTTTTTTATTCCATAAATTCCTGATGTCAACATATGTGCACAAAAAATATATCCTAAACTAGCTTACTTATGGCTGAAAAAAATACAAATATTTGGTTATCAAGGTGAATTTATGCATATACAATATTTTTCCCATTTTTAATATTTTTAGTTTAGTCCCAGGCGTTATAGAGTTTAATGGGGTTTGGTAATTCTCTGCTTTGAAAGTTCTCAATAATAGGTCTCCAATGTTAAAGTTGAGACAGTGGTGGCGGAGCAGTTTTTATTTAGGGGAGCGGGGGTATAATATAAAAATTTTCCCGGAAATGTTGGCGACGGCGGGGGAGGGGGGATGGTTTCAGACATGAAATGACCATTATCATATGTGAAATAACATGTAACTGTTCTGCATAAGGGGTAGCTTTCCTTGAAGTTATTTGAATTCTGGAATGTAATAATAATGTAATAATGATTTAATGATTCATCTTTAGTTTAAAAATACAATGTTCCCAGTCTAAAAATAAGCGAATGCGAGTTCCCCCATCTGGTCCTAAAATTTCTGGAAAAGTTGCCAATTCAGTACATCAAAATTTCCTAACTAATGGTGTTACACGAGGTGTTACATTCCTAACTAAAGGGATTTTAATGACCTACTATAGTTACGAGTGGATGAATTACGATAATGTATGCTCTAAACAAGTACAATTATGGTACTAAAGAACGTGAACCGTTGGGGTGCACAAAGGATCAATTCCCATGATGACATATATGATAATTATAGCGAAGCTGGACTCGCGTTTAATTTGAAATTAATTAAGTTTAGCTTTCAGCGCGTGCTATCACTGTTATCACGATGCTACAATGTTACTACATAAGGTTATATTCAAGAAAGAATAAGTGAGCGTGTTTTAAATAACATGGATGACTGTCCTACGCACAAATAAAAAATGTTTCATTCAAGTCCAGCTATATACTAGGTTTTGTTTGAGTCCGGACAAATGAATGTGAGTATAATCCAGTGAGCTCGAAATATATATAAGCGAGAACTTGAGGCCAAAAATGAAGCCAAAGATGGAGTTCAGTCCCTGTCTATCGTTTTTGTCTGCGCGGTCTGCAAGGAGTGTGCCGAATTTCGCATATTTTGACTTCGATTTAAAGAATAATGCTATGGTTTTATGAACAGATAACTCATATTAGCGATACGGTCCGCTAGAAAAACTGGAATTAGCTGGGGAAAATGGTATTAAAACTGCATGTTTATAAACTTCATAGCTCACTGGACATCAATCCCGCCATCTTGGCTTCACGTTTGTTATCGGCCGCATGACTGACGTCCTTGCTTGAGGTATATATAGAGCTCACTGGTATAGTCACGCACATATTCGGTTACCCTCTTACTGTTGTTTACCCCCAAGGCTAGAAAGATTGTGGCATGTTGCTGATGTGCACTATAGGTACCGAAGACACAGGAATAGGTATCAGCTTTGAGATTAACTTGAAAATATTGAAAAAAATACTTTATCCATTTCCACTCAGCAAATAAACAATGTGCATTTTCATTGGAGGTGCATGGAAATTAGTGCAGAGTGTAGAGTTACGAATACTAACAAAACTACAAAATGTTTAGTACTTTTGTACAAATCGTGCATTGCAAACAGTACTTCATTTTTCGTACTGATTCAATTAAATCACATCCGGCCAAAAATATTTGACATCTTGCATTGTTTAGTGCAAATCACTTAAAATTATACAACATTGTCATTGAACAACATCGCAGGGGAACCATAGCTGGGTGTATTCGCTCGTGTATAATAGACGTAATAATGGCTAAAAACTGACAAGTACTTCCTTTATGCCATTCAAATGGCCTCTCGGGCTCTGGAATATATTGTGACCCCCGTAGTGTGTCTATGCTTGTGGTAGAGATGATAGTTCCCTTGTTGTCCTCAGGGGCGGGCTTTTACAATCTTTGTAGAAATACCTAAAGACGTCAGATATGAACCTCGCCGGTCTAAAATCTCTTCAATTTATAATTACTTGGTTATACTTTTCAACGCTCAATTTTAGAAAAGTCACAATTTGTTGGGCAACACTATTCGACCTGCACAGCCTGAAAAATAAACTGTGATCAAACTCCCATCCTAGAAAATCCTGGCTTGTTTTGGTGCGACATGCGCATTGACACTACAACATCAACCTCGTTCCAAGGACTGTCTTTTGACTACATGTCAGTAAGTTCTTTGAGAATAGTCAATATAACCTTCAGTCGTTCAGGTTGAATTATACAGTATCATATATATACAGTGTTAATATGGAGTTTAATTTGAGAGGAGGTTAATAACTCCATGAAGTGTGGAGTAAAATTCGGTTCAAAATAACTCCAGTGTATAATGAATCTTCTCTATACGGTAATGCGTAATGGGGAGAGCCTCTGGGCACTGATAAATATGGCAATAATAAATCTGCAATAATCATAGCTAGAATCACTTTTGAAAAGTGCAAAGCCTTCTTGAGAGGGATAACCAATTAGCTGCTCAATACCTTTTCTGAAACCACCCTCAAAATGGTTCTTAACGATGGCAACCAATCACTGAAACACTTTGCAATTTAATTTTCATGGCATTAATCTTCTCCTTAGTTGGAAACACTGCAGGGGATAAGCCCGTACGTATTTACTACTTAAAATTAGTATATTTTATTATTCGTCAACCCCAATGAGATCTACCTAAAACTTTGTACATAACTATTCCGTCGTTTTGTAAGGAAAGAGGAATTGAAGGATGGTATAATAGATGCAACAGCGTGAGATCTGTTACCCAAAGGCATAGAGAATTCTCCAGAGTTCAGCGCGAATTTGTCTGCAATTCACAGATTAGCTCGATGTGTCAACGTGTCAATTTTTCAAAATTATATCTTCTATGACACACATTCTTTTATGGATTTTGGATACGATTGAGAGTTGGAACCGAAGGACAGAAAACGCTCCTTACTCAGGTGATAAGTGAAAATCTATAATTCCCCTAACATTTTCTCAAATGCATCAACAAAGTTTGCATTTTTTATCCATCAAACTGGTACAACATAATAACGATATTATCAGTAATCTTTATTTTATATCATACAGAGAATACAAACAAGGGCACTGAGGTGTGGTTTTATCAGAATTACAACTGAGGCAATTTCTCGAGATTGATTTCTGTGTTTACGATGGGACAAAACCAAAAACTTAACTGCCTCTAATATAATGAGTGATGGATGGAGTGGTTTTCAGAATGCAGAAATTTAGTATCACATTTCTTATAAAATTTAGATAATCAAGTGTCGAAACTTTCCACAATTTCAGATTTGCCAGTTCATTATACTTATTTATACAATAAGTCAATTATTCTATAGCGGTCCAAAAGAACTTCTCAATTGGTTAGAAATCCATCTATAATTCTAATTTTCACTTGTAGCAACAGTTATTAAACTCTTCTGTCACAGATAAAAATTGATATATTATCCCTGACCTATGGTCTAAGTGTCATATAGAAAGTTGTGATGTATTCAAACTCCAACTATAGAGGTTTATTCCTTGGTTGAAAAAATCTAAGGAAAGATCTGACATAAAGAATCCAAAGCTAAGTTTGGGCTAGCATGTTTAAAAGAAGGGTTATGAGAAGGGGAGAGTGCAGTTAGGGTTGGTTGCAGTGGTATGAAATGTCAGCGACATCCTCAAGAAGCAGACAATCGGTAGAATTAAACGTGACAGATCTCAAGGCCTTTGGCAGACAGCACCATTAAAAGGAGACCTGATCGCTTCATGACTGCTAGCTCCGGAAATAAAAGTGGCGATGCTAAATGAGTCTGGTGTTACGTAATGTAGCATCTCTGTTTCAATCACAAAAAAGTTTTTGATGGTTGAAGATGCTGGTATGAAGGGCTGTCACCAAACAGGAAACCACATCTTATTGCTTGCCACAATAAGGACACTCCAAGGATGGATGCATACAAAGATTGTAGAGCAGAACAGTGGTCCCAAGTCATTTTTGGTGACAGGTTCATAAACTTCTCCTTAATTTAATATTGACGTTGAAATGAGGAACATTTCGTCAAACGAACTTGTGAGAAATTCCCTCTAAAAAACTAATTAGTTATTAAATATGTTTTTAACAAGGAGCTACTTGTTGTAAAATTCCTATATAATTGGATTCCGCTGTAAAATAACTATATTTATTATAGTCATAGTCGCATTTTTCTAGTGTTTTATTGGTTGAGAGCATATCACGTGAGAGTGACAAAATTAGGCTGTCTCCCTCGCAACAGCGCAGCTGTCTCCCTCGCAACAGAGGGAAACGATACGTTATCGACCGGCGAATAACAAAAAAATTTACGTGCGCCATCACGTGAAGATGCGACCTTTGGACATTCCTAGTACGTAATTAAAACTTTCGCTTTAAGTAACTGCAGTGTAGCCAGTGTTTAATATAACGTCTTAACAATAAAATATTTCATGTATTTACGTTCATTTGTTCTTTAATTTGTTGTTTCTTTGACTATTGATATATAATAAAACACTTATTTACTGAGACCTCGGGAAAGCAGTGTGTTTTGTGGACCCTCGACCGTCAATGTTTCCCTCGGCTTCGCCTCGGAAAACATCGACGGTCTCGGGTCCACAAAACACTGTTTCCATCGGTCTCAGTAAATAAGTGATAACTATTTATCTCAGTTATAAATTCATTGCTAGAGAAGCAGTGTAAGTAGAATGATCTGTTAAACTTCCCACTTTTTACAAGTGCAACAGGACAGAAATTGTTCCAGTACCGCATAGCAAACTATGCCTGAGTTACCTTCAAATATCCAGCTATGCGAAAGTATCAGTAACTTTGAAATTAATTCGAAGAAAGACTTAATAAGTGAGCAAGAACTATAGACTAAGTTAGTTTCAGTAGAGTTGTTTCTTTTTCATCTAGTTTATATCTAGAACTTACTGTGTAATTTAATAGCTTCTACACTATAGTTAGTTGATTGTAACCATTGATTCTGAAAAGACCCATTTTAGGGATGATCAATGAAGGGGCCAATGGGGGGGGGGGGAATTTTCAACTTGCACAACATCGACCATCTGCTTGTTCTAGAATATTTTTGCGGAATATTAAATGTCTTTTTCTTTCCTTTCCTCTTTGCATGAATTTTTTCTTTTTTTATCTTTGCGAATTTTCTAATGGTCCGCCCCTAAATATTATATTAAATATTATATTCATATTATATCTTGCAGATGCGAGGCGGCCATTGGAGGAGAGTTATTGAGCATGCAGTTTATTTTTGACCGCCAGTGTATCAAAGTGTACAAATTACTTTATGATATATAGCAGTTTTTCGTAACAAATGATGAACATTGAGAGATTTAGTTTAATTTGCTTGCTCGTCGTGTAAAGGTCAAGGTGACCATGTACCATCTGTTGCATCGTAATTTTTATTATTGAAAGTTGAAACCTAAACAAAAATGCATGCAAATAATAATTAGGACGGTTGGAATGACCATATAAATAACCTTACGTACATATTGACACCCCCTTTGAACTTCTCCTTTCATGGGCAGAAGCTGCAGGTACTTTATAAAAAAACAAAAATCTCTTTTGCAAAAGTACAAAAAATTAATCTCATCTATCGTATTTCAAAACTCAACAGCGTGATGGCTTTACGATAAATTCATGTAAAGTGTAAATTGGAAAATATGCAAAGTGGGGTCAATCAAAATACTTGATCAACTATTTAAAACATAAGCAGCAGTGTTTTATCAGATATAAAGATACGAGGCGGAGCCGAGTATCTTTAGGTCTGATAAAACACGCACTGCGAATGTTTTAAATTGTTTCAAAAACGATCGATCTAGTAAGTTCATTGGCGAAGTAATTTTCAAAAAATACATTGTGTAAGTCGAGAAAATCAAAGTTAAAGTTTATGTAAATTAGGGGAAATCTCTATCACATATCTTTAGATACAACAAGCTTATGATTTTTCTTTGTGTTTTCCTCATGAATTATTAATGAGTTTTTTGAAATAACGATATATTCAATTATACATGTTATCATTTATGGGCACGCGCCGCGCAATTTATGCGACTATTTGCGGTTTAATTAACAGCAAGTGTACATCGTCAACTCAAGTTGTTATTGGTATATAGGATCAACGATACATTCTATGAATTGTTTGCAAATGTGCATATATATATACCGTACATTAAGCATTGCATATCATATTTCTGTCATATAAATATGACTGATAAAAAGTATATTTGAACTGTGTAGCAATTGCACAGGGTGTCTCAAAAAAACGCTATGTAAATTCAACAGGCTGTCGTGCATCATAAACGTGGACCGTGGTTAAACAATTCAATTTTTACATAGGAAGAAAGAACAGTTATTAAGCTTTTCAATAATACTCTTTTTAAATCGTAACGATGAGAAATGGCCACATACTCGTCAAATAAAAATTGCCGGTCGAAATCACATTCTTCCACCGTTGGGAATTGCATGGAAAACGAAACATAAACAATTCCCAAGAGGGAATTAAAATTGAATGTTAAAATATTCAAAATAAACTCAACTCGTCAATCTTCGTCTTAGTAAGACCATAAGAATGTCCATTATTGCATTAAACATGGTTCAATTAACCACTGAACAGAGAACATTCGTAATCAAAACGTTTTACGAAACAAGTACCTTGCAGCAGACTCGCGGTGCTTTTGGATTGACTTTGCATAATTAATGTATTTTCAATTCCCAACGGTGGAAGAATGTGATTTCGACCGAAAATTTTTATTTCACGAGTATGTGGCCATTTCTCATATCGTTACGGTTTAAGAAATATATCATAGAAAAGCTAAATAACAGCTCTTTCGTCCTATGGCTATGTAAAAATTGAATTGTTTAGTTTGCACAACAGCCTGTTGAATTTCCATAGCGTTTTTTTTTTAGACATCCTGTATAACAGTCGATAAAACTACGTTCATTTAAGAACAATATTTGTATATTTTAATATACAGGGTGAGTAAAAAAAAAATGATACCTTTGATATTCAAATTATAGCAAAGGTGTCAGTTTTTTTTACTCACCCTGTAAAGTGGTACGTGCAAAAATTTTGTGAACCGAATTGGTCGAACAATTCAGTCACGCAATCGTCAGACATAGTCATAGTATGAACTGTGTGTATATGATGTAAAAAACCAGCGACGTATATGAAAGAGAAACACAATAATCTGTAGTCATGTTACAAATTATTGTACAGTATACCGCAATTCAGTGGTACTGAACGGTCAGGTAAATCGATATAACAAGGTCGTGGCTAAAGGGGATGGACTAGATGCAGGTTTTCAAGATGACCGTCAGCTTTTAAGATTATTAAAACGTAAAAGAATCAACTTAGTTGCAACAATACTAAACCTTACACTCACCTAACCCTAATCCTAACCCACACTAACCCTAACACTAACGCAAACTCTTATTTCAATTTTGAAACAATCTCGTATTTCTCTCGTCCATCCCTTTTGCTGACATGTGATGATTACCGACATGGCCGGTGAACCATCTCGTAAACTACCTCTCGTTCATCCCTTTTGAGACATTGCCGACATAAAAATGCATGGTCAGGCTGATCAGCAGCAGCAAAATGTGAGAATAGGGTAGGTGGTTGGCAACTTGCTGGAAGCAAAACAAAGTCTGTCGAAGTATTTAAGTGTAATATATATTGAATCGGTTTAGGTCACTATCCATCCTGCATTTAGTGAGTTTATTCTGAGTGCGCCATCAGTAGAGTTATATAGACAAATAGTTACAAACCAACGTCTGTGTACATGAATACAGGAAAAATAAGAAACCTAATATTAATTAAACAATATTACATGCATTTTAAAGTTGTTTTGCTTCGACTGACATAATGCGGCATGCAAGTCTCTGACGCGGCCTATACTTTATTCTCACTTTTGCGATTACTATTTACAACAGTTGAAGCTATCCTCGCTAATTTACATATTACGTTGAAATAAGTAGAATATATCATGTCTGTAAGACCAGGCCGTGGATTTTTATCATATTCGTTCAGCTGCTTTACCCAGTACATGCATGTACGGAATGATGAAATCATAAATGTTTCTAGATCTGTCGATATATGGATGCAAACTATAGATGCATTACATTGAACGATCGAAACTGTGCTTCGTATCGAAAATATAGGCTTCGTGCATGCCATGTATACAAATAATGTGCATTTGTTTTGGTACGATATAGCCTGCCCCGCCAGAGACGACACAGTTCCCTCTTTATATAGGCTTAGCGCTATCCATCGGATAGGCGGGGTTTTTCAACCTTTGTAGAAGTACCTGAAAACCGTACAGATATGGACCTCACAATATTAAAATCTAAAAACTCGATAACGTTCTCTGGTTGTCGTACCATTTATTATTGATATCAAACTATATTTTGGAGGAATTCTTGAAAATTTGCGCAGTGACACTATAGTTTTATACCCCCAAAAGGTGAGCCAAATATTAACAAAATATTGCGCAAATCCGATTATGATATTCTGGCGTGGAATGGAGTTGGTGGTTGATATCTAATCTCAGTCACGTTTTGTATATACAGGGTGTCTCAAAAAAACCCAAAATCATTGAAATAACGTATTGTTCGAATTTCAATGCCGTAACACAAAGGATTTTGACAGGGTGATTAATTTGTTTTAAAAAATTAAAATATCTTTGTAAAGTGAACGTTTGTTTGCTCATGGGAATTTAAAAATGCTTCGTAAATTGTAATATGCGTAATATGCATTCGTGGGTTTAGTACTTTATGCCTGACATAACAAGTTTACGCTGAGTATTACCATTCATTATAGCAGTTATGTCAATCTTTTATGCACTCGTGGGATTAACTTAGTGCTAGGGCATTGAATATCGAACAATACGTCAATTTCAATGATTTTGGGTTTTTTTGAGACACCCTGTATATACAAATAATATCTCTTATTTCATAAATATGTATAATGTCATTAATACACAGTTCAATTTCCAAACAGGTGACATGTTTTATGAATAAACAGTAACTTCGTGTCAAGCAACAACAATAAACAAACGAAAAGGATATAGGTAAATAAAGTAGATCGTTTCAAACTGAGTGACACAACAAAGAGATTAATAAACTCACTGAAAAGCACAATTAAGCACATAAGCGATTTATTTCTTCCAGGCTAAGCCAGATAGAATATATTATCCAAACAACCTCCATGATTGCTTGATGATATGCGCAAAGCGCAAAGACAATAAGAGCGTTGGCTATATAATGGGCAAAAATTCTGCGCAGTCTTATAAAGAATAGAAAGAAATCGCAAGCATAACCAATATAATTACCTGACTGGTGTGGTGTGAATACCAGAATTAAGACCTAACGGAACGTTCTTGGTATAAAGTACTTAAACAAAGTATATAAAGGTGTTCCTACACGCAGTTCGTGTACCTACGTTGCAGTCCATACATACATGAAGAGTTGCAGACACATTAGACGAAACAAATTAGAATATGATCATGAATATAAACACATGACATATGAAGGTTCCTTCCATGCATAAGTTGTCGAAATTTAATATTTCAAGAACATACCTGAAATCTTGAAAAGTTCATTTTTTCAAAACGAGTTCCAACATGCATGCACCAATTCATCCCTTGCTCGTCCTTTTGATGTGTGCGTATCGTCTCATCCCAAAGCGTGGTCACATTCTCAGGGTCACTGCTATTGAAAGGCAACCATGTCCACGTCTCTGTAATATTTAGATCCTCTATATTATTTAGACCTTCTTTGGTTTCGTTAAGTGATTCACTACTTGCGCTCCCAGAACTGCAGTTGAGTTTGTAAGCTTTCACCAAAGTAGCAATCACCGTTACGATCAGAAGATAACGTATGCGTATTTGAAAAATCATTTCTTGAGGAAATTTTTCTCTTCTCAATATTTCAAAATTTCAATCCTTTCACCACTGTGGGCACTTTGTTTTAAAATATCACTCAGGTTAATAGATTGTTCGAATTTGTTCTTCAATAGAATGATCGAGTCTATTGCTCCGCACCTAATCGTTCACCTCATTTGACTGCCGTCCGCACACGCTGACTGAGTTATTATATATACCATTCACCCTGAAGTTTAATGACAGACACGAGGGATTAAGCCTGGAACAAAGGAAATTACCTCGTTTGAAAATTTTCGATTCAAATCCATGTACATAGCTGGCGATTTTATACATTTTTGCTGGAGGCAAACTTTATTTCCAGATGGCAAGTTATTGCTCGTTTTGATGCGAGTTATGTTTGAAATGTCTGAAAGACATGTATTGATGAAATGCCGCCAACATTTTTGCTATTCTTCGAATATCGTGGGCAAGTGCGACAACTTGAAAGGCTTATGGTTGAGGGGGTAGTGGGAAATATTGTATTTCATAAAATGTCTTCAAATAGCTGGCGTTTAACGTAACAAGACACCTCATTATGCGAGGAGTGTTCCTCTAAACGGCTCACTAGGAAATTTGCGCGTAGAACTGATTCGAATTGTTTTTGTACAATGGGTGGAAAATTAAAGTGAACCGAGATGAATTCGACATACTTCGGCTTCCTGTGCTAGTGATTTGATTAACATCGTCTAACCGGCATGAATCACTGTTGAACTGCAGTGCTAAAGCGTCAAAGACGTAGGAAAGCTCAAGGCAACAAGCAAACGGGGGGCAAAAATGTTTATCACTAATAATAAATTGAAGGTTCCCAGTGTCGTTATTTCATGCCCTGTGTTAAAATGAAAATTTCACATTGTCAAATTCTCCTCGTTGAAAGATTCCGGGTGTCTGTCGTGACCAGTCCAAATGACCTTGACATCACAATTGCTTCCGTCCCCTTTACGACTCGTTTCAAAACTGCAATTTCAACGCTATAGCGCTTTACATTAAGCTGCCAAATAGAGTTGATAAAAAGCTGCAGGCATGCTGGTACCACCCGTGAGGAAGGTTTACCATATGTGAGGTCAGTGAGGAATAACATGGAAGGCTCTACTCAACACTAATGACATAAAACAAATAAATGATACTTGGTTAAGGTTACGATTGCTACAAAAACGCAGATAGATACGTGGTACAACATTGATTGCACCAGCAGTAACAGCTTTCTGGGGAATGGCGTTTCTGCACGTATAACATCGGCTAACATCCTGTATACTGTTTCTCTCAGTAAGTACCGTGCAAACAACCAGCTGATCAATGCTATACTAGTCAGTAGGAAATAGGAATAAGAAGCCGTTTTGGAATGATATCATTTATATATTTTGCAATTTGAAAAATTTGGATTCTTTTGAGAAAGGCGTTTATAAAAGCTTGAAATTTTATCCGGAGGAAGATTGAACACTTATTGCAACTCTCAACTAAATGCTATTAGCCTATTACTGCTCTAGAGTGCCTGCCTATGTAACAAGAATTCTCGAGCACTCGTATCTTGAGCCGGTACACCTGCAGTCTACATTTTTAGAAAGACTTAAGGTAAAACGCGGATGCGGACGGACAGACGGCGGACGGAATGATGAGAAGGTAAAATGCGAATGGACGGATGAAAGGGTAATTTAAACGTTTCAGTTGCGTGTCAGGGAAAAGATACCAGTTTGATATTTTCAGAGGAGATTAAATTTAAATCATTCTGAAACAATAGGTCAAACATTTACTTTTAAACTTTGGAAACGTAACTGTACTGACCTCGTCAATCGTCATCTTTTTTTGTGGATTGCTGACTAAATAAATATGTTTGTCCTCTGATGTTTGTCCGTTTATAACGCGATGAGATTTACCATCGGCATGTGGCGTACGTGTGAGGGCTAAATAAAACCCAGTTTTAAACTCAAGAAAAGCATTAGCTCTTTTAAGCTGTCACTGCGAAGTAGCAATATTTGATAAATTAATTTATAATATAGCATTTGTAAATTCTGAACGCTGATTGGCTAAGAGCCGTGTTGATATAACTCTAATGTCAACACGAAACGTCGGAAAATTTCTTTCTTTCTATTTCTTTGTGCTATATTATCAACACGGAAAATGTTTTATATTTGTTAAATATAAACAGGTAATTAAGAACAATGGTACTTTATCTGCGTAAATGAATTCAATATAGAAGCGCTAGCCGCCAGAATTTAACCAAAAAAGCGTTTGACGACCAAAAATCGAACTCGCTCTTGCTCTAGCGGCTTTTATCACCTTCTTTGTAAATAATAGATCTCATTTCGTATATAGTAATAGGATGGTTTTGAGTGGAGTGCAGTTTGGCCGGATCACGAAGAGCATCAAAATAGCACAAGTCCGAAGAACGAGTGCTATTTGAGTTGAGGTCTTTGAACAACTCACGAGATCTAACTTTCACGAGAAACCATAGTCACGGATTAATATTATATATAAAAATCCTCATTTTTATGTACATTTTATGAACAAGTTACAAACACGCAGTTCGACTAAACATTTCTGCATATCGTTCGCCAGCTCTTTGCTTTGGCAGAAAACGTTGACCGGCAGTTCTACCGGGATTGCCAACTGCGCACAAACGTAAACTGATTTGAATGATTCTGAAACATTAGTGCTAAGATTCACATCATATTTTCTGAAATTATTAGACCCTCTTTGTGGCTTACTAAACACTTAATCCGGATTTTACCGTCTCATCCTTCCGTTCGTCCATCTGTCCGCCGTCTGTCCGTCCGCATCCGCGTTTTACCCTAAACCTTTTTAGAAAGCGCGGTGCATAAATAATCTTCTTCTCTTGTTATTGCTATAACCATTTATCACTCATTAATTGGAGCTGATGAAAACAATAATATAGTCGTTGCATTTATAGACATGTAGGCATGCTAGTCATTTCCTATGAATCAATAAGATTAATAAATCATGTTCCTAAATTTTTACAAAGCACATGAATTGTGATTCTTATATGAACGTATATTGGAATACTTATGCAGGTTACTCTAAATTCATACGTCATTTATTTAAATTCAGATTCGTTAATTAACTCCAAATTTCGTATTCGGAAAAAAGTGAGTTATAAATGTAAGTTGTATATAAGTTAACACCAGTACAGGTATTAAAACCACGTGAGGTTTATTTCCTCTTCTAACTCATTTGGAATTTTCCTAATCTAGTCACATTTGTAATTTTTAAAAGCTCTGCAAATCCCTTGGGGGAATTTGCAATGTTCCTTCTAAGCCAATGAAATGTCCCACACTTAATACATTTACAGCAAACGAAGGGCGTGTGCCTCAAAAAAATGTATGAGCTCTATATATCTTGGGGATAAAATTCTCAATCTTTTGTAATTAAAGATTTGAGTGATTTCTTACGAATTAGCGCTCTTAGGGATTTTTATGTTCATTTAAGAGTCCGGATGTGATTAGCCAGGATTTTCTCAAGATTCTTATAGGGATTTTTTCATGATGTTAGGGATTGACTTTTTTTACTTTTTTTGACAAATGAAAAATTTGGCAGACTTAGAAAGATTAAGTATTTTTAGATCTCTTTATAAATCTCAAAGATTTTTTGAAGATTTCTTGCAGTGGATTTCATGCGAACATTCGCACGAAATCTTTCGCAAGAGCTTTGTGCAGATTATGTAGCTTTTAGACATTTTTATGATTTTTCAGATTTTGAAAGATTATTTACAACTACACACAGCTGCACGAACCCATCTGATACATACAGATCTGTTGCATACAACGCAACAGCATAAATCAGTAAGATGTCCAATTCTTGTGAACAATGCATATTTCAAAGTCTTATAAATATTTCTCTCGACTTTAGTCAATATGACTGCCCGTTGATCGTTAATTGTTGCAGATTTCAACTGCGTCTGCCGTCTGCATGTGTGACAAATTCTTTTCTTTTTTTTTGAAACCGATTCAGTCTACGAGATGTTTCTCAAAGTATATATAATTACATACTTTTCAAGTTGAGATGTTCCTATCATGTTATATGTACGCCCCATGCCATGAGTAATTGTGCAAAAGGTTTCTTGCATCACTGCAGGTAAGGAACATTGACAACGATCCGGTCCAACAATACAAACTCGTCCCCAGCCTGGGAACGAGGACTCAAGGTCGTCGGGGGCTGGGATTCGTTTTCATCAACTTGATTATTCATTAATTATTTGAATTTTTTCTGGGAGAGACAGTTACAGTTTTTCTGGGAGAGGAATATTTAGGGAGCCTCACATATCGATTTTTTCCACGAGAAACGTCATATGTTCGTTTGGGGGTGGGGGGGGAGTTTGCAGCTGTGACGTTTCTCAGTAAACATAATGGAAAAATTCGATATTTTTTTCGAAAGCCTTAACATTTCGAAATCATCTTTGCAGAATAAAAAAATTGCATTCGTAATACCATACCTGTTCTATATATATATATGTATACATTTATATTATTACGCCTGGCTTGTATTGAAAACATAGTACTCAAATTTCAAGAAAAACGCGCTAAAATTATCAATATTTCATGCAAAAAAAAGTTGTTTTGAGAAACGTTGGAAATTTTGATGACATATTCTTCACGGAAGCATCGCCAATAGCCGACCGTAGAAAATAGTAAAAAATTACCTTATGTGTCCTATATAAAGAACAAAATATAGATAACTATGCGTGACGTTTCTAAGGGGGGGGGGGGTCTCCAGAGAAACGAACATACGACGTTTCTCATGGACAAAATCGATATGTGAGGCTTCCCTTACACTATAGTCTAATTGAATATCAAAACTGGAAACTGCATGGTCCCTTTTCCCACTTTTCGAAAGATAGAGGAAGCTGTCTCCATGCTGTGTTCTCTCAGTCTCTCACCTACGTATTTTTCGTGAAAAAGGTGAAGTATATTTGAAGGTGAAAGTGTATTTCATTGCCACCTATATGTGTACCTTCATTTTTATAAGTTAACTGGTAGTTCACAAGATAATTCATGTAAATTAAGACGTTCATGATATAATTTCGAAAATACTTTCATTATAAATAAGACGGTTTTATCTGATGATAGTTTAAAAAAGATTGTCCAACTTTCATTGATGCGTTGACGACAACCAAGCAACTAGAACAGTTCTACATGGTCTCATGCATGACCTTGGCAATTCATGGTACAAGTTATATACTCATTGCGAAATGCATCTATGTTTCTGCCGGCCGGTGCGCCCTCGAGCAGATGGAAATTGTGGAATTGAATCACTAAATGTGACGGGCACTGGGGCACAATAATTTCTGAAAGCCTTTGAAGTAACATTTTAAATCCGACTATGAGGACTGGACTAGATTTCAACTCCGCGCAATTTGATCAAGTCCGAGGCAAAGCCGAGGACTGGGTCAAAATGCGAGGACTTGAAATCTAGTCCAGTCCAAATTGACCATTTGCGTAATACTAAATTTTGATCTAGACAAGTCTAGACAAAAATTTCATCACAGCTCTTGAAAGAGCATCACAAAATTAGTAATATTCCAAAGTTTCGTTGCGAAATGTTGTAAAATGCGGATAATATAGCCTTGCGAAATTTGCAATTTTCAGTCATTTTAGATTACAAACGGGAAATTGACAGCCCCAAAGGGTATTGGGATTTTTGTCTAGATCAAAATTTAGTCTATTACGCAAGTGGTCAATTGGAGCGGATTTGAAATGACATCTCATACGAATAAATCACGACTTAAAGTGAGGTGAATTAATTTTGATCCAGTAGTCCATGCAAGGACTGAATCAATAATATACTTCACCAGGTATCCAGTACTATCATGTGAGCAAAATAAAGCAAGATATGGTTGGCTAATTTACCCATGATGAATTATAATTTCAACTTTCAACCAACGGTTTTCAAACATGAAAGCCGTTGTACGGAATTACAAGCCTTCATGGTTTTATTCAATAATGGTATGTCTTCACGCTTAATTGTGGTGTACTCAGTTTAAGCCGTCAAAGTCGGCGGTTTTACGCATGCTACAGAGCACCGCACTGTTGTACTACAATACCTGGTTTTTGCTTAAGGCCCTGTCACACTATTGGGTATCGTACTAGCGTATGCCAGCGTATGAAAAATATCACTCATACGCCGGTATACGCTAGCATACGCTAGGGGTACGTTAGGCACATCCCACCGGGCACACGACGTTGTTTCAACGTTGAAATTTGGTAGAAAAAAGGTTGCGACGTCGACAACCTCATATCTACGTTGCTCTGACGTTGTTTTACAAACATTGGTTGAACAGCAGCCAACAGACGTTGAATTAACGTTCATTCATGGTTAAATGTACGACGTCGATTTGTGAACCAATCTCAACGTTGTTTTAACGTGGATTCAACGTTGAATTATGGTTGACGAGATTGGCAACCTAATTTCAACGTTGTTTCAACGTCGAAACAGTAACGTCGATCCAATTTGCATAGTCAACCCTTTTTCAACGTCTATCCAACGTCTGGAAAGGTCATTTCCAACGTTGATTCAATGTTGGATAAACGTCATTTTGCCCGCTGGGATGTTGTATACGTTTCAAGCACGGTCGCGTACGGTAGCATACGCTGGAATACGGCGAGGCAGAAAATTTTTTTTAAACATGCTCAAAAATGTTGTGCGTATCGGACGTATGCTTTATACGATAAGCATACTCTAGGCACACGCTGAATACGCTAGAGATACGGTACTCATACGCTGGCATTTCAAAGGATTTTTGTGCGTATGAAAATTATTTCATTAATTTTCATACGCTTCTCATACGTTTCTCTCATACGCAATAGTGTGACAGGGCCTTTATGTTCGTGTTGGTATAAATACTACTTTATATAAAGGTGTAAAGGGTGTATCAGAAAAAGTAGACAATTTTGAAATGGTTCTCAATTTCACAAAAATTTAGAACAATTTAGATTGTGATTTTGATTGATAAATTTAAATTGTTTGGGTATTTATAATGTAGAATAAACAAAAAAATTTCGTAAAGGTAAATTTTCCAGAGCAGGGGAGGGGGTGTCTCTTTTTATAGCGGCATTGAAAATAGCTTGTGCGCGAAAGTTAAAAGCTTGAAACGCATTTTTGAGTTCATGGCCATGGGCGAGACGTTTGTTATGTGTTTTATTAATGGTCCAAATATCAGAAAATTTGCTCAATTTTAAGTCCTTTAAATAGCTGCTGAAACTTTCATTTTTTGGCACCAATGCCTTTCACGCATGCTTAATTCGTGCATTTACCTCATTTGCATATTGTTATTTTACTTCTTTTACAATAAGTTTCAGCAGCTATTTAAAGAACTTAAAATTAGTAAATTTTCTGATATTAGGACCATTAATAAAACACATAACAAACTTCTCACCCTGCATGAACTCAAAAATGCGTTTCAAACTTTTAAATTTCGCGCACAAGCTATTTTTAATGCTGCTAAAAAAGACAGCCCCCCCCCCCGAACTGGAAAATTTATCTTTACGAAAATGTTTTGTTTATTCTACATTATAAGTACCCAAACAATCTAAATTTATAAAAAAATTCATGACATGAACGTATTTGTGAAATTAAGAGCCGTTTCAAAATTGTCTCATACTTTTTTCTGATACACCCTGTATAGAATGTTTTGGTTGAGAAGTATGCAGAGGTTATATGTCTTGGAAAGTCTTCAGGTATGAAAAATACTCGCTTTTGGCTGAATAAGCCTGAACATGTTTTATCAGAAGAGAGTCATGCCATATATAGGGTATACTAGTAATATTAACGGTCTGATTCAATGGACAAATATGGAAACAGCCAGATCAATTTAATATATAGAAAATGGGCTGAAATTAACCAAGAATGATGATGATTTCGGGACGTCCATGGAGGTGAAACTACACCTGTGCAAAATGAACTGTGCACACCACTATAAAGTATTATAAGAACCTTTATTTCGCACAAAACAAGAACATCATCGAAATATGAGGCGATTCAGCTATACGCTATAAAGTGTAATACCATCATCAAGAGAATTACAAAATTTAATCACAAAATTTATGTCACTTGGCGTACAACAATTATAAGCTTTTGCATGTAATAAATTGGAAGTCTTCATACTCATAACGGTTGATGACCTCACATACGCAAACAACACAAAAACCGACTTGCTATTAAATGGGTGCCTTATCGGAGCCCAACCCCTCCCCATATCCCTAGAATAAATATGCACTCCAACATTCGCATGTGCAGGCATAATTATATTTTGTAGTCGCATTTTTATGAATAACAATTACAGTCAGCTCCATTATGAATAACTCAATTCGGGTGTCGACTGCGCATCCAAATGTCGCGTTCTGCGTCGGGATATATTGCAGTTGAACTATAATAGAAAGCTAAGACAGGAAAAATTAGAATATGCATATCAAAGTATTCAGCTCTTGAATCAGTATATAAGAACCACAATAAAATAATAAATAATTTTTGTACTAGCATATTTTGTGTAAAGCAAAATTTGGAAAAGTACACTTAATTAAGGGAATATATTTTCTAATTTAAAGGAAATCAAACGTCCGGAAACTATTGTTCTTTGAGCAACTTTTTGCATTATATGAATCTTGATTGAACAATAGACCTTAGTTTCCCCTTTTGAGTGAAATTTTGATCTAGACAAGTCAAATCACAGCTTGAAAGAGCATCACAAAATTAGTAATATTCCGAAGTTCCGTTGCGGATAATATAGCCTTGATTTAATTTAATTTAAAAATTTATATTGCGCGTGTTACATAGGAGGATGCTCACTCGCGCGCCTTGCGAAGTTTGCCGTTTTTCAGTCATTTTGTATTACAAATGGGAAATTGATAATCAGTTTGATCATCTGATTATCAATTTCCCGTTTGTAATGCAAAATGACTGAAAAACGGCAAACTTCGCAAGGCTATATTATCCGCATTTTACAACATTTCGCAACGAAACGTCGGAATATTACTAATTTTGTGATGCTCTTTCAAGCTGTGATGAAATTTTTGTCCGAGCATAACTAGATAAAAATTTCACTCATAATTGGAAAGGTCTATTGAATACTTTGAACGGTGTGTGCCAGTTTAGGTAGTGGCAATAATAAGAAAGCCGCGGGTTGATAGGGATGAACTACTACTTGAAAAATACAAGGAGAACTTCGACGTTTCGAACAAAAGCCCTTCCAGACCCAGCTATACATGTTATAGTTCAACAGCAATTAGCCTTTTCCCAAAAGAGATCACAATGCATTCTGGGATCGTTTGGAGGGAGAAAATATAGGGTGACAGGCGTCAAATATGTGAAAGAGTATAAAAGTATATACCATCAAATATCAACTTTTTAGATGACCAAAAATGAAATATCTCTTTTTTACATTAAACATTTAATTTAAATGTGTGCTGCCATATTTCTTGTCCCTCCACCATGGGATTCGCGCGACTAGACCCAGGACTTTGGGAAATGGCTAATTTAACACAGCGCAGAACTGTGAATTTGAATGCACAATGGAAACACCGAATTGTCTTTAAGTTATTAGTTATTAAGACCATCTTGTGTGACTGTGTGATCATTTTGATTTTCCTTTCTTTCCTTTTTTCTTCTTGTTAGTATTACTAGAGGAGGACTGAGAACTGGACGAGTCACCCTGTTGAGATTTGTTTTGTCGACTTTTTAACTTCGGGATCATTTCACCAAGGAAAATAAATAATTGTTTCTCTAAAATTGAAAAAATATGCATGCTTGTATTATATATAGTATACATTGTAACGTCACGGCCAAGGCATGAGAAAGTCCGCCAGCATGGCAGATGCTGCCAGGAAATTTTTTAAATCTCACAGGAAATTTTTAAGGAAAAGCAAGATATCAAGACTGAAGCTCGAGAAATTTCAAAAATCAGCATCAAAGTAACAAACATCACAATTAGAGCATAAATACAACAATCGTAACATAAAAATTTGTATCATGTGTCAGTGCTATATACGACTGTCTGTTATCATGATTCATGATTATGATACATGTGGAAAACAAAGGCGTACTATACTATTATTGAATAGTGCATGAATACTGATATAAATTCAGATTTACAATTTGAAAACAAAATTCTAATAATACTGTTTCATAGAATTCCTTCATGTTCCTAATTCTAGTAAAGCTATATTTTTCTTAATATTGAGGTAAGGTAGTTTAGTATTTTTGCACAAGTGAACATAACAAATCCTACAAGTTAATTGGCCAAATCTTCGTCTCGGCGAATATTCCCCGATAATCACCTCGCCTTCGGCTAATAATTGTTACATACACGACGCTGTTATTGAATTACAACCAACATTCAAATTTATAAAAAAATTGGCAGGAAATTTTTGGTCTGGGAAGCCTGCTGCCAGGAAGAAAAATATTTTATCAAGGCTTGGTCACGGCGGCCATGGTGGACGGCGACATCACAAGTACCACGACATACAACATAACGAATAATTAATGCGTTTCCTTTGTTTAAAGGCTATTACGCGCGGGAAAAGGTTGTTTTCCACTAGGCGGAATTTTCCGCGGGAAGCGGAATTTCTCTTCGACTTGTGATTTCTCGGGTGGAACTAATTAGAAAAGACAAAGAGAAATTCCACTCAGCGCGGAAAATTCCGCTTAATACTAAAATACTCAAAATTTGCTAATTTCACATGGCTATATTTTCCGTATTTTACAACATTTTGCAACCAAATTTGGTAATTTTACTAATTTAAGAATGTTCTTTTAAGCTATAATGATAGATTTCGACGTTCTTGTCTGGATCAAAATTTAGTCTATAGCTGGAATCATCCATGATACGAATACAGTTTATTCTGGCCGACAAAGCAAGACAAACTTTTGCTAATTTCACATCCAATTCTCAACCAAATTTTAATAAAAATTTAAACAATTCGTCCATAGGCAATGTCCATTAGCCCACAAATTTTCGGTAGTAGTTTCGGTTGTAGTTTTTGAGTCATCGGGCAGCTGACAGAAACACACACACAAACACAAACACACACACACGAATGAAAACATAACCTCCTCCTGCATGGAGGACATAACAAGGGAATACAATGTAAACAACTAAACACTCTATTCAGTCTATTGTCTTAAACGAAAGAACTGTTAAAATTATATACTGTATAGTAACTTCTTGTATTTATTTAGTATATCTTCTTTTACGTTTTTTGACATTATCCATTTTCTTTAAAAAATCAATGTAACTAACTTGACGTCATATTAACGCATTTAGATATAATGAGATATTAAGGTGTCAAATCTTTGTTTATCATGAAACGAATCTATAAGGATCAGCATGATTAGTATACCGTAGGTGAAATAAATACTCGCCACTTGATACAAGTGATTTCATGAAATACAAGCGACGAAATAAAACATTTACTGATGCTTCGTTATTCATGTATGACGTCAAGTTGGTTACGTTGCTTTATCAAAGAAAAAGAAATATTTCAACTATAACTGTGTTTACACTACGAGCCTAAGCCTGGCCTAGGCCTACAATCCTGGTCAAAAATATTGGCGCACTTGACACTGACTGTGCCAAATTTGACTCCCACATCAATAACAAGCATAGCAACCCCCCTTCCCCCGTTCAATGTTGTGTGTAGTGTGTTATACGTCCAAGGTGTTACACAACATTGGTAAGGGGGATAGGGGGTGTTTGGACATGAAATTTTTCATAAAATGGACAAGTATCTATATGGTAGTCAGAAATGAAATAAAGGTTATGCTATTTCGACTAAGTGCGCCAAGGATTTTTGACCAGGATTGTAGCTTTGGACTAGATTTTTGTGGTGTAAACGCATTTCGGCCTGGTCTAAGTCAGGAAATCTGGGCCATCAGAACAGGTGTTCCACATTTCCTAACCTAGGCCAGGCCCAAAGTGCGTTTACACTACATAAATCTAGTCCAAAGCTATGCCTAGGCCAGGCTTAGGCTCGTAGTGTAAACACAGCTTATGAAACATGGACATTTTTTACAATTTTAACAGTTCTTTCGTTTAAGAAAATAAACAGTTTTGTGTCATATGCACTTTAAACTATAAAGCCACAATCGTGAGAGGGTGCGATAAATCGCGTACTTACGTACTGGAAGTACGCCAATATTACGCTTTGGCATCACGTACGATTAATGTTTCGATAGCGCAAATTTACATGTAGATAATGATCAAATGCGCTTTACATCAAGTGTTGCACTTACATAATTACTTACTTAGCCTAGACTATTTTATCTTTACAACAATTGTGATATTACTTTGTTAACTGTGTTTATTCTAACCCATGCACCCTATCAACTTTCCCTGTGGGAGCAAACCGGAGCATCCGCAGAAAACCCACGATTTTCGGCAGAGCGTTGACCGACTCTTTTCACATGAGTCCGTAGCGAGAATCTATGGCGGGTGATGTGTGTCGAAATTCAATAACACATTTGGCAATGATAACGTAACATTTTGCTACAATAATAACACATTTGGCAACGATAAAGTAACCTTTTGCTACAATTTTGTGGCGGTTACAAGACATTTATTAACAATAACAAAACATTCAATGACAAAGTATTATTTTGCAACAACATACTAGTAAACGTATCGTTTTATTATTTGCCAACAATCGTACATTTGGCAAGTACAATCCCGTGATGCAATTGGGCACTACCTCCAAATGGCGCGAAAACGGTGCATAAATGGCGCGTAATTATTTTCGCGATATTGGATTACATGTGGCTTTTTTAAGTAAACATGACGGAAAATGAGAGAGCTTCGGCGTCAGACGATATTCAGTCATCTCTACTACAGGCTAGATATATAATTGTACAGCTACTGGATGGTGTGGCAAATTCACCACAAAATATATCTGCGAATACTGCAGCTGGTCTCTCAAAATTTCAAATTTTGGTGCCATTGACCATTCCCAATGTTTCCGGTCCGTAATTTTCATTATTCAAAATAGGACGTTGTATGACATCTACGAGAAGTCTGGCCTGATGTAGCAATTCGCTGTAAATTTCGGGATTTCGTGCTGCCAGATTTGCTAGGCATCGATAAAGGTCTTCAGAAAAATCGCGAATACGATCAATAACATCATCAAGCTCTGTTGAAAGGCATTCCGTTACATCAGTCAATAACATTTCCAATCGCGTTATAAGAGCAGTTCGTACTCCGTTTTCTTCGATATCTTGATTGCCATTTTGTGTGAAAATAATTACGCGCCATTTATGCACCGTTTTCGCGCCATTTGGAGCTAGTGCCCAATTGCATCACGGGATTGTACTTGCCAAATGTACGATTGTTGGCAAATATTAAAACGATACGTTTATGTTGTTGCAAAATAATACTTTGTCATTGAATGTTTTGTTATTGTTAATAAATGCCTTGTAACCGCCACAAAATTGTAGAAAAAGGTTACTTTACCGTTGCCAAATGTGTTATTATTGTAGCAAAATGTTACGTTATCATTGCCAAATGTGTTATTGAATTTTGACACACATCACCCGCCATAAGAATCGAACCCACGAACACAGAGGTGAAAGGCGCTTGCTCTGTCGACGGCGCCACCGAAGCCACGTAGGCAAACCCGGACTCTCGCTATCTGTGTGGTAGGTACTTCATTTGACCCTTGCACCGTAATAATTAGGGTGGGGTGGGTGTTGATGGGGTTGGGGGCGGAGTGGGGTGGGTGTTGGAATCAATCTGATACACCATAATGAGGGCCACATGAAGTATATACCATCTGTGTAATTACGTCTTGCTGATATACAGTACCATGACTTTTTCAAGTTCAAAGTACCCATAACGCAATTAAGTCGGTATATACTGTGTGTTAACTCTGGCATGTCTTGGCATGAAACATGATTGGAATGATAGGACTAAGGAATGTTGCAGTCGATTGTGGTGTTTGTATATACGTTTGTGTTCCCTGTTCTAACTCGTAGTTTCAAGTCAGGGGGGGGGTAGGAAGTAGGGGACCCCCTCCCAATATTTTATAAGGGGGGGGGGGCGGGATAGCTTTCGGCCCCCCAAAAAACTATTGGATTTAAAAAATAATAAAAAAATACTGCAAAATTCTCGAAACTGGTATTTGAAACCGTATATATCATATTAATAATGTATCTGTAATCGTTTATTGTTGTTTTAATAATTCAGAGTTCAATTGCATTGATCATCGTGATTCATCGGCAAGTTACTGTAATATTAATCATCCTTCCTGGCTCACGGATGGCTTACAAATCATAATGACAGAGCATGAAAGGGCTTAACGAAACTGCCAGTGAGAGAAGACCGTTAAAATGCCATTTCTGACGATCTGGAGACACCAGCTTTCGGTCGTTGGAAGCTTCCTAAGCCCCTGTTTCAAGTTACTGAATGAATACCTTTCAGAAACCTTTACTTCATGTGTTCTTGACCTTAAAGACTATAAATGCTTGTTTACACTATCAAAATTTCTTTGATCACAGTAGGAATTTTGTATGTATAGAAGTATATAAGTTTTGAAGGATTTGTAACAAATTTTTTATTGAAATGACTCGTGCATGCAGTGTTTAACAATGAGTTTGTTTCCACAAACGTTTTTTACAAATCTTTCAAAACGTTGATAGTGTAAACCAGTTAGTGCCAGCAATCTAGAAATCTCGAGTTATCGCACCCTGTCGTGCAAGTGAAACATTTTCGCATACATATAAAGTACATGCAGACGCAAGACTATATATATATAGGAAGAAGAGACCTACAGTAATTAAAAACAAGACTCGCTAATACATTAGGCCAAAAAATGTGGGTTTCCTATTTCTTCTTGAAAAAACTTAGGTAGGGTAGGTCGATTTTAACCTTTTTTTTTAACTTTTTTTTAAATTTTCCTAACAACCGGACGCCATTTTGTTTAGTCAGTGCTTCCACATTCAAAGATAAATTTCCCTAATATTGCCTCAAATTTCCATTTTTCACAAACGTTTTTCTCTAAGCAGAAACACATACAAGCATGATCCAATAAAAAAGTTTAGGGTAGGGATTTCGGCGTCCAAAAGCTAGGTAGCGTCGGGAAACCGGAAACCCACATTTTTTTTTGCCTTAAGGCCCACACAGACCGGGCGCGATTCGGCAACGCGTAGCGAATTTTCAGTTTTTACTGAAAACAAATAAAACCGTCAAGGGATAAATATTTTACAAGATATGCAGACCAAATAGCTAAAATTGCTTAAGTGGTTCTGAATACTTGAAAAGCATGGGAAAATATTAAAGTTAAATGTCAGTGAAAATTGAAAATTCGCGTCACGTTGCCAAATCGCGTCCGGGTCTGTGTGGGCCTTTATTGGGCCGACGGCAATCAGCAGAAAAATGTTGGATTTTTTGAAAAAAATGTTCTTATGCACATTTTTTTTCAAAAGCATTTATACATTCACCAAAGCATTAATATTTTTGTAAACTAAATTTTTTTGTGAAATCTTGAAGTTAATTCGCGTGTGGCATGGCCATTGATTTGAGACAAAGTAAACATGCATATTACATCGTTGACGTTGTTTTATATGTTGGTTTCCACTTAACCTTGAAAATGCTTTGGAAGTTAATATAAATGGGAAATGGTATAAGAAAAGAAAAAGAAAATAAATGTATTCCAAACTCTCAAAAGATGATATAAAAATGAAAGCGCGCACAACATATGAAATTAGGGAGGGAGATTTGTAATGAATTCACTCAAGTTATTTTACTTACTTGATAATAACGTAGGATTAACTGGCTTTCCACTTGAATCTTTCAGCTGAACTCTTACTCTTCCTTTGCATAAGGCGTCTTTGGCACTATCTCGGGGGTACTGCTTGTTCTACATATTAAATACAATTATTGAATAGACTCGACAGTTTTCTAGAACATATGCTGTATAATAACAATAGAGTATTACAAAACAGTAGAATTTAAAGTATAATTGATGATAATAAAGAATGGTCTGTGCCAGTGTGGGCAGATACGATAATAAAACCTGGTTCTTTTCAGTTGCGATTTTCTCCTTTTGGAGGATGTGAAGGAGTAGATCAGTTATAAATGTTCCAGGTTATGAAATCTGATATGTAATCTACTCCTTCGCATCCTCCAAAAAGAGAAAATCGCAACTGAAATTGCAACAAAAATAGCCGGTGTAAACGGGCCTTTAGAATTGTTTACTTCTGAAGAGACGCTGATTCAATCAAGGACAGGTTGTCCTTCCAAACCCTTAAACCTTAACTCTGAGCGCGCAATAGCGATAGGCCCTTAAACTCAGAAAATTGCCTTTACAGCCAGTATATTTTCTGTCGCGAGTCTTCTATATGTCTTAGGTATTCTTACAAAGCCAGATTACAAAGTTGATGAGTCTAAATAAGCAATAACCCATCATCCCTTGCGCGCTCAGAGTTCAAGGTTTAATTAAGTCTTTGGAAGAACAACTTTAATTGAATTAGCTGTGTACTTTTGTGTGCGAATTCACTCATTTGCATCCGTCAGAAACACAAAATCGCCGACAAAATTGCTGGTGGGAACCAGGCTTAAGATATCTACGGATTGCGAGAGATTCAACTGCCTGAAAAATACAAACACACCTTCGACGTTGCGAAGGCCCTTCGACTAACTTCCGGACGAATGGCCTTCGCTCGAAACGTCGAACGCCGCAGTTACCTGATGATAATAAAGCCATGATGGATGCATGGACACGACAAATTTTAAAAAGCAAACATTTCGGGCCTTCCCTCGAACGTCGAGTTTCTGCTTATTTTTTAAGGTAGTAAATATAAACCCCTCAGCACAGCATTTTCACATTGGTACTACCCACACTGGTACAGACAGTTTTAGTATACTGTATGATCAACTAGGATGTATAGAGATTTAAAAAAGTTTAACGTGTTAGAAATGGGCAAGCGACAGAACTTGAAAATATTCTAAACTGAACCATAAAACACACAGTGACTACCGGTACTTTCTTTTATTGATTTTTAATGGAAATAATCCTCTTGCAACTTAAGGTTCGGTCACAAGAGCGACAAGTCGCAGGCGCATGTTGCAGGGACATGTCGCGGGGTCAAATTTCATCGTGTGTCACATGTGTAAACGTTGTCGCGGGGACAAAAAATTGTCCCCGCGACATGTCGCATGAAATCAAATTGATTTGATTTCATGCGACGTGTCGCGGGGAAAAAAACCGTTGCCGCGACTTGTTGCATCGTGTGAGCTAGTCTGTTCACAAGTCGCGGGGAAATAATTAGTCCGACCAATCACAAAATATCATTCCCATGACTACTTGCACGCTCAATTTCAATATAAGTCCTCATGGGAGTTCTTTGACTTGTCGCATGAATTGTAGCCTCGTGTGACCACGCGTCTGTAAGCGCTTGTGCGACTTGTTTTCGCCTAGCACTGTCGCTTCGTGTGACTCGTTTGGGCGACATGTCCCTGCAACATGCCCCTGCGACTTGTCGCTCCGTGTGCGGTGTGCATACACACGTCAAACTCTTAACAACGATCCTGCACGTAGCTACACATGCAATAACCTAATGAAAGATGAAAAATAAGTTTCTGGCAGCAAATACTCTTAGAAGAACTACTGCATGGCAAACAAACGTAGAGTATATAGCCGCCAAAAGTCAAACTTACTTCTACAGAGCAGTTCAAGCCTTGACTTTGACAAACATCTTTTATTTCATTCACAGTTGGATTCTCACAAGCCTAGAATTAATTTGGAAAAAAACACCAGAGCGATTATTGCTCCTTCAGATGTTAAAATGGGACTTGATTTCGTACTGTATACAGAATTTTAATATTTGGAAGCAGATAAAATTATGCAAAAAATTATAGTTTGTTATAATTAAGGGATGGAAAAAGGTATCAACAAGTTGTTGCACTATGAGATGAAAACAGTCTGTTCAATCAACATGTACAGTAATTGTGTTTCGAAAAGCCCCTCGGGGAATAACCCAATAAAATGTATGTATGTACAATCAATCAACTTTATTAATGAGGGTAAACGCATGACAGTGAAACTGATAAAGCAGCGGCCCTCCTAACTATAAGTACAAAAATATGTTAATAGAATAAATGGCTGCGTAGGCCTATAGCATGCAAATATATACATAATTATATATAGTAGGAATTTAATAACTAATGGTCTAGTAAAAAGTTTAAAATACTTTAAGACGGTTCATATCCGTTAGAATGTCAATATAAAAAGTTCTCAAAGATGATCTAAAAATGTTTATACTATTAATGGACTTCAGTTCATTTGGCAGGCTGTTCCATTATCTTGACATTCTGACTGAGAATGTCCGTCCACCTTCAGTTTCTCTATTGAAACGTGGGCAAACTATGTATCATTTTGATGCAAGTCTCCAACAGGCCTGTAACAATTTGTCAACATTTAAGCCGGCATGATCTCCATATGTATGGTCGTAATGATTGTAAAAATTGAGTCACGATCTTTCTCAACGGCCATCGCTCAAGTATTCTCTTGTTATAATCACTCCGCGTATTTTCAGTTCTAAAATGTTGTATTTCGGCTGATGAGAAAGATCGTGACTCAATCTTTACGACCATATGGAAATCAGGCTTTAGGAACAATGAAATGACCCTAACGGCCTAAGCTTTAGAACCAAAAAGGCCTTAAATAGTTAGACAATATATAATTTAGCAAATGGGCAAGAATTTTGCTGCCTAAAAAATTGTTTGGTTCCGGTTTACTGATTGACCCCACCACATGACACCCGACCTTATATTTTAAATATTTATTTACTGGAAAAAATTAGAAAATCATTTCCAGATGCCAATCGTCATCAAAAGTCATGCATATTGACTGACAATAAATGAGATGCTCTTTTTGCACCAAATGTTATAATCTACTCAATAAAAAGTTCTAGCCATTGCAATTCTATTGAATTATTTGAAGATCAAATTATTAAAAATAACAAAAAGGGACACTATGGGACGAAAACAGTTTGTGCAATCAACATCATTTTGATGCAAGTCTCCTGCAGGCATGTAACAACTTGTCAACATTTACGAACAAGCAGTGCAAACACAACCATATATGGACTAGTCCAAATAACCCTTTCACAACCAAAAAAGCTTTAAATAGTTAGCTAAATATAATTTAGCAAATGAACATGAATTTTGCACAAACTTTTCAAAAATCAATATTTAGCCGAAAAATTGTTTGGTTCCAGTTTACCGACCATACCACATGACCCCCAACCTTATGTATTTTAAATATTTTTTACTGGAAAAATTAGAAAATCATTTCCAGATGCCAATATTCGAAATTCATGCATATTGACATAAATGATTATATGCTCTTTTTACACCAAATGTTAATCTACATACAGTACTTAATAAAACGTTCTATGCATTAACATTCTGTTGAATTATTTGAAGATAAAATAATTAAAAATAATTTTGTGAAGCATGAAACCGAATCCAACAGGGTTTTTTTATAGATCTTTGTAACAATAAGAATCAAAATATGTCAAAATATGTTGGCAATTAGTTAACTTTCAATTTCCTCCGTGGGAGAGGTATTTTGAAATGGATGTTTTCTGGAATGACCTGAAGTCCTGTAGTTAAATTTCAATTTCCTCTGTGTGAGAGGTATTTTGAAATGGATGTTTTCTGGAATGACCTATATTTATTTGCACATTATTTTGGCACAAATGGTAAAAATTGCAAATCACTTTCCGATATTGGGACAATGAAATTACAGCAGGTATTTTAATACCTTAAAAGGTGTCTTGCATGAAAACACTCATCTCACAAACCCTGTGTTTGGCCTTCATGATGACGTGCTGGATGTTTCGTGCACGCTATGAATCCAATTGAGGTCTTTAGAAACTATCACATAAATATTGAACTGGTTCTGGATTTCTTGTGATGTCAAGAGGACCACATTTAGAACGATTTAAAGCCATCAAATATTGGCCTAAAAGTTACTGATTATCTGACAGCACCCTATACTGTATAGTTTTTGTGTGAAGTAAAGTGAAGTGGGGTTATTTTATTTAGCTGTGAAACACGGTTGATGATTTTCGTAATCTGTAATTCATGATCGTCATTTTTTAATCTTTTTTACATGCATGTAAAAAAAGTCACAATTTAACCATGATCTGTGAATAAAGAATGAAAATAAACATGATTTGTGTATGGGTAATTCCAGTAAACATCCATTGATACATCCCCCACAGAGGCTAACCCCTGTATAATACCCCCTTCCTATCGGAAACATATTTTTCTTCCCTCCCCATCCAGAAAGCAGAAATTTCCTGTGTGGGGCAAGTGTGTCTGAATCGTTTCTGGAACAATCCAATCACTTGTTCTGAGTGAATACAGTAGTTTTTTTCAGAATTCAATAGAGAATTCCCACAAGTTGTTTTGCCTATTTATCTTGACTGTCTTGTGACCAAGATGCTGAGCTTCCAACAGTTTAGTACCGGAATAGCAAAATCAGGGGCGGATCCAGGAATTATCATAGGTTAGTCAAATTTTTTTTCTGTTAGTCGGGGGGAGGGTGTTTTGTTGTTAACGTATCATATAGAGATTGTCTGTTAGGAGGGGGGCGTGAAAAGGTTTTTGGATCGTTGGATTTCACAGAAAAAATTGTTCGGATTTTGGTTCTAGTGAATATTTTACACGGATTTGAGGATCTTATTAATACTGCTGTATCAATAAGATCCATAAATCTGTGTAAAATATTCACCAGATCCAAAATCCGAACATCCAAACCTCCCCCCCCCCACCTCCTAACAGACAAATTAATTTTTGTCTCTAATATTCTGGCTCGGATTGTGGATTTAGCTTGCAATTTAGTGGGATCCTGGATTGTGACTTCATAGTAGAGCTTTTAGCGGATTCAAATTTAGACAACTGACCATTGTCGGATCGCAGATTTTGCTTCGAATTTGGGCGGATCGGCGGCTTTGTATACCCCTATTCACCTCCCCCCTGTTAGCCTGATTTTGACAATGCGACATAGAATTGACATATTATCCTTGATATTATCGATACAAATACAACAACAAAACCTTTCCTGATACAAATAATTCTAATATGGACAAATACAAAGCAAATTATGGTTTTGGATTATAAATATATAAAAAAATAACCTATTGAACAACCGCAGAAATAATATTATAGCTAATTCAAGTACACAAACAGTCAATTTCCATACCGAGCAGAAAGGAATTTCTAGCGAGACTAAGTTTGGTGTCACAGATAGCATCTAAAAGCTCGTCGACATATCTTGTACTACAGTATTTAAAGCATGGATATGCTAAGCATTGCCCTTTGACAGATATTTGCTAGATCTTTACTCTTAAACTAGATCATTATTCTTAAACTAGAACTGTGCAAACTCCGGTTATTTTAGCTCTGGCTCCGGCAGTCCAAATTCCAGCTCCTGCTACGGCAAGGAAATTTCATAGTTAAAAGTAGAAGCAGGCAAAAGTACTTCAGTGTAATTTCAGAATTTATTTTATTCCTTTATGAGCTTTCTTTATATACAGTACTTATCAAATATACATGCTTTGGTGCTTGTTTAATGTGCCGGAGTTCCAGGTCCGGTACTCCGGCACACAGCTCTATGTTAAACCAGGGATGGATCCAGCATGATCTGGTAGGGGGGGGGGTGCTCTGCCAGCTCTGGTGCCGAGTTGTGTCAGTCATTTGTGCCGCACGCCCATCAACTTGCTTCACTACTGCAAAGTCTTGCTTGACTATCAGTATTTGAATTGTAATTGTTGTACACAGTTTGCTTATTATCATGTTATTCCTCAAATTACTGTATCTTATTTTGTCTCTAATATTTTTTTTGCTTTATCATGAAAAATAGCATCCCCCTCCACCCCCTCTGGCCAGGGATAGGGGGGGTGCACCCCCCCCCCCCCGTACCCCCCAGTAAATCCATCCCTGTCTTAAACGTGGACTGGACAAGTTTAATAAATACTACAAGACATTGTAGTGTAAATTCGCTCTGTCTTTGGCACTTGAAATTCAACCATCATGTTCAAGCAGCGATCAGAAATGCTGTACCATAATCATGCCGTTTTCATTTAAGACTTAGGCAGGCTCAGGGCTGATGAATACCCCAAGCTGCATAATGGTCATGATTGAGCAAAAAAATTAGCCATTGAGAATTCAGGAGCTCCTGATGCACAAATTGAGCAGCACTACCCACAGATCGAGCAAAAATGCTGATCCCCATGGTGGTGAGGAAATTTGCCAATCAGATGGCTGGAATCTGATTGCACAGCGAGCAAAACTCACACAGAATACCACTGTTCAGTGATTTGGTATTACTTTATTGAATGATTTGCCGCTGTATGAAATATGATAACTGCACCTGTGGATCACAATCTGAAGGCTTTGCCGCTGTATGAAATATGATAAATGGACCACAATTTGAATTTGAATTAATTTAATTAACTGTGCAATTTTTACCTTAGTCGCTAAACTTTTACATGAATGCATTTTGTGGAGGGGCATAGGGGGAGCCTCTTATCTGCTTATACCAGACGTAAAAGTTACGGATTATCAGCTCATGCATTGAAGGATTTTGGAAATGGAAATTTTGTGCAGAACATTATATACCATTTTAGACCTAAGCCGGACCAGGGTGCATTTTAAGTGGAATACGCCGAAGATCTTCAGTGCGAGTCTGTCAAATTAATACAATACTATCTATAGTTATAATATTGGCATATCTTCGGGGTTAAAGCATTTACATGGAATGCACCCTGGAAGCAGGAGCAGTTGCAAAAAACGGGGTGTTACAGTAGCTACAGTCAAAAATTCCGTGTTAAACGCCGTTTTCCCAATTTAATACCTTGAGGTTGCAATTTCCCAATTTGGGTCAGCCAAAAAATAGTTATAGAAATTCAATGTTGTTATGCCATTAAAAACATAACTATACATTTGCTCAAAATTACTCCCAAAATGTGGGAAATGCCATTTCAACGACACAAAAATTTTAAAAATCGAGAGGGCAACTGCATGCCCCCAGACCCACAGAGAAATGCCCGGCTTCAGGCTAAAATAAATTTCCCTATTTCAGGTAAACACAGATTTTTTTTACTTCTGGCTAACACTCTGAAAAATGCAACTAAGGCTCTCTGTGCCACTGTGAATCTGGTGGCACTGCACTGGTGTGCACAGTAGAGGTGTGCAAATCCGATCCAAATCCGATCGGATTCGTTTCGGATTTCGGAACCAAAATATTCATTTTGGATCGGATCGATAAAGTTGTTTCCTCCGGATCGGAATTCTTTTCCAAAACTCGGATTTGGATTAGACAATTTCGGATCGGATTTTAAATATTAGGCAATTGTCGGATTATAAACGTCCAATCCGATCCGATGCACACCTCTAGTGCACAGCACTCTGCCGCTCTATAACCAAGTGGCCCAGTTTGCAGAACGTGGCACATTTCGACGAGATCTCGGGTGCGATATACCAAGAATTTCAAGTGCAGGTGCGCTTCAAACTGTCAGGTGCGCACCTGAAAAATTGTAAAAAATGCTGTAGGTGCGAATTTTTTGTGACAAGGTGTGTCACCGCCGGTCCGCCAGCTGGGAAATAGTAAATTACAATTTATCAGCGGCTTATCTCTTGTCTTTCCCCCCACGGTGTCTAAAGGTCTTTACAGGGTGTCGAAAGGTCTGTTCACACGATCCAATTTTGTCGGATCTCATTGTGTTGGATCCAATTGTTGGATCATTTAATCATTTAATGTATCATTTAATAGCTAAAAGTCTGATCTTTCTTAATATGAAAAAATTGAACGCAATTATGACTTAATTTACGCGAAATCGCTTGTCTAATTTTGAGTTCGGTTCTACTTGAGACACCCTGTGTATTATATAACTACAACAGTCCAGATAGTTGTATATGCCTAACGCATTGATTATCATAATTATAGTTATGTTTCAAAAAATATGTGTTTCGTCCAGCATGATATTACTGTAAATTGATGCCCTGGAAATACTTTCAATTTACCTCTGCGGTTGCTAATAGACCTCCTAAGCTTGTATGTAAATTAACCCATTTCAAGTCATGTGGTCTGTAATAGCTTACTTGTATAGACACCCTACATCATTATACATGTCAAGTGCACCCTGGGAGCTAAGGGACGAGGAACATTTAGGCTAGGTGCGCTAAAATTGCAACAAGAAATTGCCCTCGGGTGCGCTAGTGACACGTTCTGCAAACTGGCAAGTGATCCACCTACCTTATCTTTCGGTACTCTTCGACCTTCAGCCGCTGTTTTCTTACTATTTATATATGATGGATAAACTATAGACCATCTATAATAATGAAATGGAGTCATCAGTACAAATAAGCCAAAATTATTTTCATAAATTATGATCACAAGGACCACAAAAGTATTAGGTTTTTACAATTTTACTTTAGAAATTGAGTTTTCCAGCAAGCATGTTACCTTTCTATCTTCGATGGATCAGACGGTAGATGGGACATTTTCTTATGCTCGTTTTATAACTCTTTTTTGAAAGAAAATTAAAAAGAATACAAAACTCGAACTTGATGACTCGTTCATATAGAGTGAACAGCATTTATTGTGCTTAACACGAAGTATTACCACAATCAAGGTATGTCGTGGGCTCAGAATAGGGGACACTGTGGGATTCGTTTGGATCTATAATTGGACATTTTCCACTGTACTGATGAATTTGATTTGAAAGAATGTAAAATTCTAGACAAATAAATTCCGTTTTTAAATATTAGAGCTCCCAGCGTAGTTGTGAATTTGTACAGCACGAAAATTCGGAAGAAATATGTTTTGTAATTGCGACTTGTCACTTGTGTATATAATGTTTCCCAGAGTTTTCAGAGTACATATTACGCTTTTACCAAGTGGAAACATGAAGTTTCCGGAATAAAAGCGAGCGCGCGCGGTGTGATGGGAAAATTGAAATTCGCTCTTCCCATCACTCCTTGCGCGCTCACTTTCTAGAAACTTCATGTAAGCCTCTGCGGAGGAGAGAGCAATGGCTATGGCAATGGTACTCATTTTGCATGTAAGCAGAGTCTAAGCATGGTAAATCAGGTAAATGAAACAAAATAATTAATTGAAACTTAAATTCTGAAAAATATTCACTACATGTAGATTCACTACATGTAGTAACTAGTTTGTTTCACCTGTGAGATACCCATGTTGCTAATTAATATTGAAAAATTATGCCTGACGAAATCAGTCAAATCACCAGTCCAGACGTGACCAACACCTCTGCTTACCAAACCCAGGATGGAGTGAAGTCAAAGTTTGGATTGGTGGCTCTTGGTGTTACAGGAACCATTGTCGCAGGTTTATTTGTTGGTACGTTACCATTCCTGACACCTGCACTGCGGCGAATATGTCTTCCATATGTTCCAGCTACAAACACCCAGATACAAAACATTCTCCAAATGTGTAAAGGAAGATCAGGACGCTTGGTCGACCTTGGCAGTGGTGATGGAAGAGTGGTAAGAGAGAGACTAACAAACCTGTTCTCCTCAGACACTTGTCACAATATGAAAGCAATACATAATAGTCAACTACCCGAAAAATACAAGGAGAACTTTGAAGTTTTGAGCGAAGACCCTTCGTCAAGCTACTTACTTCCTGCCAATAGCTAACTTTTGTTTGGCTACTAACTTCCTGACAAAGTGCCTTCATTCAAAATGTTGAAGTTCTCCTGTATTTTTTATTCTAGGGGTGGAGGCCAGTGCCGTAACTCCTTTGGGTGCCGCCTCGCTCAAGCCAGGGCCCAAGTCAATTAGGGGGCTCCCGAACAAGGATAACAAAGTAGTAAATTTGATGTATTTCAGCCAATTTTGCATCTTTTTGACATTGCCCTTCCCCCTTGTTGCTACTTTGAATGGCCAGGGACCCTATTCCAGTTAAAGCACAAAGATAGATAGGGACAAATTAGTTATGCCACTGGTGGGGGCAGGGGAATGAGGGTTAACACAACCCTCAACATTTTCCAATTAATCAAGGCTAATGAAAGAGGCTGATGGGGGATTGTGTCAAAGGCTTCCGGTTTGTCAGAGTCACTTTTTTGTTACCTCGCAGTGGCAGTGCCACAGGGAGGACTGAATGCTGGAAATCGCTTTTCTGGGACTCTGGATAAGATTTCAAAATCTTCCCTAGGGTGTCTCTAACCTCATCCCCAGGCTCTTCCCTCTTGTGGAGGATGTGGAGGGCTTAAATTAACAGTAGATTTGTTATAAAATTATTACTTTCATCGAATATTTCACTACTATAGTATGGCCTTGAGGCTTGATGTATTTGTAACAGATCCATTAGACCAGGCGGAGAAGGGGGGAATAGTCCCCCGACGGGGAAATTTATGAAACCAAGTGAACTTGGTCAATTTTGGGGTGCTGAATTCGAAAATCGTTGGTATACAGGCCGTGGACGTGGCCTTCAGCCTCGTTTTCGCGTTTAAAGCCTCGTTCTAATGCGAAAACGTTATCCGCTCGATTGAAGCGAAAACAATGAATAATTTGTTTAATATACTCACTTTTAGGTATTTTTAGGTGCAGAATTCGAAAATTAATTGCATTCGGACGATAAACTGGGCCATCTGCCTCGTTTCCGAGATTTATAGCCGCGTTTTTACGCTTTGAAACCATGTTTTCCGATTTTAGTTACTAATATATTTAAATTACACTTTATGCACGCATGTTACCAGTACAAGGCAATGTGTCATACTTTAATGCGTAAAACAGGCCATTTTGTGTACAAACATGAAATTTTTTAGCCCCGTACCGAGCTGACGTTTGGGCATATTTAATTTTAAAATTAGTACGTTCTCGTCGATCTCTTGCAATGTTGCAAAATATCCCAAATTCGCGATTTCTCTGTTTTAATTGATTAGTTCGAATAAAAAAGCATTTCGATGCGGACAATTTATCTATTTTTCTAGATCTTAAGTGCTATAAGGTTTTTAACGATCGGTAAACGTAAATATCCGCGCGAAAATGCTTGGTCTGAGCAAAATAATTATTACTGAACAAAATAATTATTGGCGGAAGTTGTCGATTTCACGCTGTAAACAACATTAAAAACATAACAGAATTCGAAGTGTTATTGTTTCACAGTTCATCGAATTAGCAATCAAGAGTCGTTTGAATAGGTTTTAGAGACGATGTAGGAAGAAATGGCCGATTGTGTTGTTCACTATGACTCACTGGACACATCTAGTGATAAACTGATTCGACCAAGTGCAAATACATTTGAAACTTTGCTCGAGTGTAAGAAAATACGAGGGCGGTGAAAATCATCACATTGATCAATGCAATAAAATTCCAGAGAATTTGGGAGAAATTGAGTACTTCTACCATCGAAAATGTTTTCAAAAGTTTGTATATGCCAAAACGTTATTGAAACGGAAAACAAGCCAAGACGGCTGTCAAGGTTCCAATATCAAGCTTCAAAAATCAACAAGAAAAACATCACAAAGACAAAGTGATGAAGCTACTGGCTCTAGAGGACTGTTCCCGAATATATGTATGATTTGTAAGAAGAAGGAGTTAAGGGTTAAAAGTGTACGCCAGTCACTATCTAGGATTGTCACCGATACTGCAGAAAGAACACTAAAAGAAGCTGCAATTGCTCACAATGATTTAGAAATGATGACAGCCGTCACCGAAACTGATTTGAAAGCAAAAGAATTTCAAAAACACGAAAAATGCTATCTTGACTATACTAGAGTCGTCAGGAAAACAGCTGAATCAACCGAAGGTGGAAATGATGACAAACAATCAGGGGACTACAACGTAGTACTTTCTTTGGTAGACAGTGATATTATAGGCGGTCAGCAATGTTTGTCAATGGAAACACTAATGACAAGATATTGTGGTAATATTGGAACAAGGCAAAGCAGACACAAGCTGAAGGAACGCCTTACGAAGTCATTTGGCGATCAAATAGTTTTTCTTCAACTGAAGCAGAATATCATATTTCGCAAGTGGTGATAAGTAAAGAATGTTTGCACAATCAGATGATTTCGGGAAGTTCTACACGTATTCAACAATCCGCCTTAAAAAGGGAAGCATCGTTTCTGCAAGAGTCTATCTTAAATTTTTTAGAAGAGGCTGACCCACTTCCATGGCCACCGACAGTTGAAAGTTTGGTTTCAAGAGAGAGACAATACCCAGAGCTTCTGCAATTGTTTTTCAAGGAACTTTTGTCTTTTAAAGGAAGTCATCACGTCACTGCCGAAAGAGTAGATCGACTGACTGACTCGTTTTGTCAAGATGTCATTCACGCTGTTTCAAAGGGGAAATTCCTTACGCCAAAACACGCATCACTAGGTCTTGACCTTCATAGTATGACTGGTCAAAAACTACCGATAACTATACTGGCAAGATTAGGACATTGTATTACATACGACGCAATCAACGAAATCGAGACTGCTCAGGCTGAGCTGGTAGAGCACTTTCAATCCATGGGTCTGAACTTACCTCTTCAACCAGCAGCAATTGGTTCCAAAGTAAGTATATCAGTTTACGATTATTGAAACTAAACTCGCAATCTGACAGTGAAAAAAAAAGCAGACAACGATGATGATGCGCGCTAAGCTTTAGAACTATGTAAGCGAGTTACGAACTTCGCCGTAAATTGTTTACATTTTTATACCATAGTCTATTTGTATTTCATCACAACATTTGTATACGATCAATTTAGATTGGAATTGAAATTTTTTACTAAATTCACAATAAGAAAGTCTCAGTAAGGTAATTTTCGCTTAGAAATAATCAACAAAATTAAGTTGTAGCATTTTCCCCTTAAGGTATCAACGATATTCTGGTGGGATAACTTTGATCGCAATGTTGAAACTGCGTCAGGCGCCGGTTCTATCCATAATACACCAGGAATAGCGTTTCAAGAACACTCTGACGCAGCTGTGATGAGACAAGACGATATAAGCATTCCCAGGTCAAAGCGACGATCGATCCAACTCCCCAAAGAGACGGTTGATAAGCGAGTGGCAGTCAACCCAAAAGCAGAACCACCATCGCTTGCTAAAATACAGAGCAGACCAGCTCCTACTAGTGCACAAATGTATTGTTCGAAACTGTTGCAGATATGGAAATCAGTGCGATATCTGAACTCGGCTAATCAGACACCGGTTGGTAGGTTGGATCGTACGTCGTTTTCAGCAGGCTCATAGCAAGGCAACACTGATGACATACCTGCCTCCAATTTCTTCTCCAATAACCGAATACTCCACCATCATAGAAATGTTCCATCAATCTAGGCAGCTGGCGAAGCTATCCAACATGTCCTACACTCACATCACCCTCGATGCGGGAGCTGCAATCAAGGCCTTTCATGTGGTTTGGAACAATCCAGCTGCGTGGTCCGACATAATAATCCATCTGGGAGATTTTCATGCAATGATGACCTTTTTTGCAGTTATTGGACGTTTCGTGGAGAGCAGTGGATTCGAAGATGTGTTATTTCAAGCTGGTCTGTGTAGCTCTGGAAGTATTACGGGAGTGATGAGTGGAAAGCACTACAATCGATGTTGGCTTGTTCACGAGGCTTTTCTGAAGCATTAGAAAGACTTTTTGTAGAACAATATCTACCGACCATGCCAAAAAAAGTCGAGGAGTGCGCACAAAGTAACCTCGCGCAAGCAACGAGTTTAACCAACATTCTTAACGATGACACTGTTAAAGAATATGTTGATCAATGTCAAATACAGAAAACCAAATGTTTGAATGGAGAATTCGGTAAAACACCGCAGTTTTGGGCAAAGTATATGGAGCTTGTTGATCGTCAGCAGAAATTGCACTTTTCCGTCAATACGAATGATTATGACCTGAGAATGCTCATTTGGAAAGAATCTTTGCCTTTGTGCTTTGCTACCAATCGGGTTCATTATGCTCGCTATGGCACATATTATGTAAGTGGTTTAGAATGTATTGACAGCACTCATCCAGGAGCAAGACAGGAGATCGAAGATCTTGGTTTGTCGGTGCGGAGAAATCAACTTGGCATAGGACAGTCAATCGACATGGCAGGCGAACAAAGCTACATGAGAAATGCAAAGACTGCAGGTACATACTTCATACTCATGAATTCAAAAAGTAATAATCTTAAATATTTCAGCCATGCATCTCCTGAAACAATATTTCCTTATAGGTGGCAACCGTCGTACATTTATACTTGATATTTATTACCATTCTCCGTCTTTTTAGGGGGAATCACGCAATTTGCTGCAAAGGAAAGTACTGTAACAAAGTGGGTCATGAACAGGCCATACCAAACCAAGTTTGTTGAATCGTTACTGGAGCTATCCGGAGTGTGCACTACAATGTCAAATCCACGAAAATGTCTGCGAAGCAGTGAAATTCTGAAGTCGAATAAGATGGTGGAAGGAATCATGGTGGTATTGAAGACACAATTCATCAATCCCTTCCATGCTGACCTTGATAAAGATAAGTTGTTCAATTTGATTTCCGGGTATCCAGCTCCAGAGAACGTGTGTGAATGTCTACTTGCACTTGAATCGAGGGGAAAGGAGCTAATGGACGAATTTCAGGACAGAATTACCACAGAGTCAGCAGAATCACCTGGAGCAGATTTCTTTAGCCCAATCAAGAGAGAGAAGCTCGAGACCTTCAAGAATTTGGCAGTAAAGACCAAGATAAAGAACAAGGGAAGGATCAAGGAACTCACATATCGGAGAGATATCTTGGGGATGTTAGTTGCGTATTCTAACAAGCACGAGTCAGGTATTGATCTTGAGAAAGTACTCTGCTTTCCTCTTGCACCCGTTTCGATCCCGCCATGCACACCAGATGGCGCAATACGAAAAACCGTCAAAAGCAAATTGTACCACGCCTCCATGAGCGACCTGACTGTTGTAAGCCACGACTCACTACCACCCGCTTCGACAATGAGAACATACTTGTTAGATCTCGCCGCTGCGATACGTAGTCTGATCTTCACTGGATCTACGATTAGAGAAATGACATCTCAAATAATAGCCACTGTTCCTTCTCAGTACACGACTATCTACATCATGGCCAGAAATCACGGACAGTCAGCTGTTTTAATTGCGGGCGCAGAAACTGTTCCCACGCGCGCGTGACATACGCGCGACTTCAAATCTACTATAAACAAACTTTATAAATACAGTCGACAATTAATGTCTATTTACAAAGAGTTAAATATAAATTTGATCCAGGGATAGATGATTATATAAGTGAAAGACTGCAGGAATGAATTTCTTAAAACTATAACGAAGATAATACAACATTCTAAACTTTAGAAGACCAAACAAATTTGAATATATTTGCATTTCCCGCAATTTATTTTGTTTTGGAGCCTTTTCCCTCGCACTTGTTAGTCAGCGGCTGCCCCTTAAAATGATTATAAAATGGCGAAGCAATAAGGCATTTTCTGCGTTGTATTTGGCAACGTTTTGAGGTTTTTTCTACCCTAAACCGCTCGCAATGGTAGGAATTTCAGGTTATATTTTGCCTCAAAACAGACAATTTGAAAGTGTTGGGGCCGCTTAGCTAAAATCTCTGGTGTTTTAAAACTTATACGCAATGGCAGATCGAAAATCGTACAAGAAATGTAGACGTGTGGAACTTGTTGGCAAGCGTTTGTGACAGCGCTATAAAGGACTAAATGTGAGCGAGTAGGGAGGATTTGCTGAATTTAATATAAGCTTATATTGCGTGGAAATGTTTTGAATCGAGTTTACTCGGGCCGGCTAATGGCAAATCGTGAGACGTCAAAACCCTCGAGAGCTATATTTTCAGGTAGGTAATAGTATTTGTAGACGTGTGGAACATGCAAATCATTCTATATTTCATTGTGCGCATCGATTTTATATTGTCTGTAATAGAATACCGTATAATATCCGCCATCTTGGTTTCGTAAAATAAGTTCGTTGTGCGCATAAGAAATCGGATTAGCCGCCATTTTGTCCGTGATTTCTGGCCATGTAGTTTGTGACACATACAAGTACAATAGCATCAAAGGTGGAGAACGCCAAGCAAGAGGTTCAAGCGAGCGGTATGTCCTAACCAGTCCTGACATGAAGGTGCCTTACGATTTCGCTGGTTTTCTTCGTAATGGGGAAAACAAAGAAATGCTTTTCAATCTTATTCAGAAAGCAATTGAAGAAATGCGTGGTGATCTACTATCAGCAAAAACCGTATTCTTTTCCAACAAATTCAAGTGTACGAAGATAACAAGTGATGAAGTATCAGTTGCCGAATACTAAGCTAGCGACCACGAGGAAGCGGACACAAAGCTTGTTACCTTGACCTACGCTGTGAACGCACCTCCAGAAGATACTATTATGGTTCGATCACCTTCCAGAGATATCGATATTCTTGCCCTGTTTGTGGCGCATGATTTTTGTGCCGCTAAAATCCTAATCGACAACGGGACCGGAAAAGCTAGAAAAACTATAGATGTGACGTCGTCAACATTAGATCATGAGAAAAGAAAGGCTCTGATTGGTTTGCACGCGTTTTCTGGTAACGACTACGTTTCAAGTTTCTTCAGGAAAGGGAAGATGGCTGTTTGGAAAGCGATGCTGAAAAGCCAAGAATTTATTAGTTTCTTTGCTGAGCTAGGCAGCTCTCTTCAAGTTCCTGACCATCTTTCAGAGGGCTTGGAAAGGTTCGTTTGTGCATTATGCGGTAACAAGGTGATGTCTTCGGTGAACAAACTTCAACATAAGATGTTTGTCCAAAAAAATTACGAAAGAGAAGAAAGTCGTTGATCTTAGCCTTTTGCCACCTTGTGCAACCAACCTCAAGTTTCACATAATGCGTGCAAATTATGTTGCATTCATTTTCAGGAATGCTAAAAACTTGATCCTCGATCTTGATGACCAAACATGTCATGGCTGGAAAGAAGATGGAAAAGTTATCTGGGACAGTGTTGCTTACCCCGATGACGTTAGCGAAATGTTAATTGACAGAGAAGAAGAAAGTGACGAGTTTGATTTCGAGCGAAATAGTTATATTGGAGATGACATCGACGATGATATGGAGGATGATGAGCATTAACATCTTTACAGGTTTTTAAAGCGATTAAATAAAGTGTAGTTTAAATATGTATAGTAACTAAAATCGGAAAACGTGGTTTCAAAGCGTAAAAACGCGGCTATAAATCTCGGAAACGAGGCAGATGGCCCAGCTTATCGTCCGAATGCAATCAATTTTCGAATTCTGCACCTAGAAATACCTAAAAGTGCGTATATTAAACAAATTATTTATTGTTTTCGCTTCAATCGAGCGGATAACGTTTTCGCATCAAAACGAGGCTTTAAACGCGAAAACGAGGCTGAAGGCCACGTCCACGGCCTGTATACCAACGATTTTCGAATTCAGCACCCCAAAATTGACCAAGTTCAGTTGGTTTCATAAATTTCCCCGTCGGGGGACTATTCCCCCCTTCTCCGCCTGGTCTATAAAACCCGGAAGTGAACGCGAGGGGCATACGTCATTTTCACAACGGGTCGTCGGTCACCTACCTTGTAAATTTTATATAGTTCAAATTTTAAAAGAATCTTCACAGTGGAAATCTTGTAATAAAATTTTCGCTTTTAAAAAAATCGCATTGTAAAGAATTTTATTAAATTTTCTCAATAGTTGCAAACGTCCTGCTCTATAAAGAGCCTCTGGAACCAAGGTACATGTTCTATTGATATGAAATAAAAAAGATAGGTCACACCGACTTCATTTTTCAGATAAAGACAATTTTGTGGCTAAAATAAGCTGGTTTTAAACCTTCACCATGTTGCCATAGCAAGTCGAGCGATACTGTCAAAACCTGTTTTAAATATTCCACTGGTGTTAGATATTCCTACCAAATAGAAAAGAATGCACGATCTGCATTATACCTGTATAATAGGCCCGAACTGCACAGATTTTGGGCAAATAGAGTCAACTGTAGGGAGCCACCTTAATTCTTAAAAGAGGTCGTATTTACCGTCTAAGTGTATAAAGTAGTATTTAAAACACGCGTATATAGGACTGTTTTATCATATTTAAAATGCGAGTATCCAGCACAAACATTTTAGATATGATAAAACACGACTACAAGTATTTCAGTTGAATAGCTTCAAACACGACTACAATAGATGCCGTCTCATTAGTATTCTTTATATAAAGAATACTAATGAAGATGAGTTTTATCGGGTACACACACAAAAATCTCACATCTTGTAACAAGTTTGCCAACAAGCCGTCAACAAGATGTATTCGCACTGCTTGCCACAAGTTGTCAACAGGTTTGGAACAACTTGTTGCCAACTTGTAACAAACTTGTCAAAATTATCAGACTTGTTGCAAGGTTGTTCTGACAAGTCCGTTACATGCTTGATATAACAAGATTGTTACAACCTTCTGTTGACAACCTTGTAACATCCTTGTTATATCATGGCTGTAACAAACTTGTTAGCACAGTCTTGTAACAAAGCTGATAATGCCATCAAGCTTGTTACAAGTTGTTAACAGCTTGTTTCAAACTATTTACAACAAACTGGGAACAAGCAGTGCGAACACAACTTGTTGACAGCTTGTGAACAGACTTGTAACAACTTGTTTCCAGACTTGTTACAAGCTGTGCGTTTTTACACGTGTATCTGCAAGCCTCTTCACGTGACATATTATGGTTGACATGATTTGCCAATAAGCTTATGAATCATTAATGATGTTTGAATATAATTTCAAGATTTTGTTGACTTCTCACTCGATTCAATTCAAACACCCGCGAGAAATGCAACTATAGGACCTCTGGCAGGAATCGAACCTGTGGTCCTGCGATTCCAGTGCAGCGCTCTAACCAACTGAGCTACAGAGAGACAGTTGTCAAGCTCTAACCAACTGAGCTACAGAGAGACAGTTGTCAAGCTCTAACCAACTGAGCTACAGAGAGACAGTTGTCAAGCTCTAACCAACTGAGCTACAGAGAGACAGTTGTCGAACTCTAACCACAAGTTCATGTATATATACTAGGGTACTGCCATGTTTAGGTTATGGGTAAATATCAAGATTTTGTTGGCATCGCACCCGATTGAATAATAGTTGAAGGGTATTCTGGATGGATATTATGAATAAATTTCACCTACAAGACCATTCGGTACCAAAGAATGGTCTCCGCTTACGAGATGTGGTGTCCGCAAGAAGAGATTCGACAGATAAACAAACGAGTCACTATAATAATAATAATTACAATATTGAATCAGGAGCCAGGCGGTCCACTCACAAAGTGATTTTCAGTGGAGCCCTGAGCAAGAAAAATAATTGAAGTTACTGTAATGTTAAACCTATGGCATGTCATATCGCGTCCCATCACTTCAGCAGAGTGTCTTATATAGCTATAGTGTCAAACGTTTCTGTTAGGTTCAATTTCCGATTATGCAAATTGTTCTATTTCCCAATGTTCCGCAGGCAAACTATTCCAGTCGTTGACAATATGGCAGCCGAATGTCTGCTTATCCCAGTTTCTCTCGACGCGTTCCAAATGTAAGTTTGTTTCGGGTGTTGTAGATGTGGATGTCAGACGATTACTTAAGTGCATAACTTTCGTTGTTTCTGCATCAATTAGTACAATTCTCGTTATCGCAGTGACGTTGATACACAAACACGTGTAAAAGTTCTTCCAGCCTGTCAACAAGATGTACTGGCTCTGCTTGTTCCCAGTTGTGGACAAGTCTGGAACAAGTTGTTATCACCTTGTAATAAAGGTTGATGAGGTCAACAGACTCGCAACAAGTTGTTCCAACAAGTCTGATGACAACAAGCTCGTAGCGACTCGTTACGCGACCTGTATATCACTCTTGTTGGAACATGTTGTAGCAAGTCTGTAACCGTCATCAACCTTGTAACAAGGTGATAACAACTTGTTCCAGACTTGTCACAACAACTGGGAACAAGCAGCGCGATCACATCCTGATATCGGCTTGACAACAACCTTGTTACAACTTGTTTGCAGATCTGGGGCCGGTTTTTCAAAAGCTGATTAGCTTAACCCTAGGTTAACCTCAAAATACAAACCAGACCTCCCAACAGCTTGCTTATAAACTTGGAAATATTTCATGAGAAATCTTTTGCGGATCAGTAGACGTTTTCTCCTCTAACGTTTAGAAATTAACAGTCGCGCAGAAACACAGAAACTAAAACAACTGGCTAAATTTTAACCGAGGGTTTGAGCTTATTCAGCTTTGAATATTCAGCCTATGTAACAGTTTACGCGTTTTTATATTTGTACTTGTGGACCAGTAAATTTATATATTCGCTTCGCAAATAGAGCTGCTCCCATCGGCTCATTTTCATAATCAATTAATATCGATTAGTCGTACTGATTAATTCATTTAAATTTGACATGTGCCTCCTTGATTACTCAAGGTATAAATTGCGCATTTTCTCGCCCACGGAGAGTTCACACAAGTAGACAACTGACAAGAAAATGACGATGTTTAGTTTATGTTTTGAAACTTCTAAATGATACTGTAAAGGCCCAGGCACAACGAATCCGATTTCGCAACGCAACGCGATTTTTCAATTTTCAAAAGTTAATAAAACCGTCTATGGAAAGAAGTCTTAAAAGCTATGCAGACCAAATGATTCAACATGTTATAGCGCTACTAAATATCTGAAAGACCTAAATCAGGATCAGAATTATCTGAAAGGAAATACTGACGAATCTATCATGTTGTGCAGGGTTGTTTATTATTCCGATTATTAAAAACCTAAAATCGTTATGGCGTTTCTCTTAAAATGACTTTTTTAGCTTTAGTTTGTAGTTTACACAGTTAGCAATTCCCTTTTAAATGCATCTGGCGGTTGAGAAACACAAAATAGTTCAGTATTGTCAATTTGAATACAAATATCATTGATGCTGTAAAATTGACGCCATATTTACACAGCAATACAAGCAAAAACGTACTGAACTTCAGACATCATTTTCTCTTCGGCGTACCATCTAAAATCTCGTCATTTTAGCATAATTTTACAGATAAAGCACTAAACATACTTCGAAAGGTTGTTTGCCGCTTGAGAAACGTACTAAAAATTTAAACTATATTCGTTAGTTTTGAGCGCGTGTTACGTAACATACAAATGATTCTCCTCTTAGACTTAAGTATAATCGATTGCGAAAAAAAATCGATTAATCGATTAATTGGGAGCAGCCCTAGTCGCAAGGAAGTAACATTTACGCTATTCACAGTGAATATGTTATTCACATTCTGTCCAGCCTCACACACCGAGGCTTTCCAATGCTTCTGTGACCGGTAATAGACCTTATGCATAATGACGTCACGAGGCTTGATGCCCGCGAGGAATGCTGGTCTCAGTAGTCATCGCCCGGGAAAATTTCGATAGTGGCCATTTTGAATTCTTTAATTTTCCCGGGCGATGACCACTGAGACCAGCATTCCTCGCGGGCATCAAGCCTTGTGACGTCATTATGCATAAGGTCTATTGTCTCGGGACGATCTCCAATACCGAAACAAATATCTCTGCGGCTTTTTCTTTGTTTCCAATTAGTTTGTTGGTAAATCCTACAATAAACAGCGCCAGAGGATACTCTGGAGTTAATTGAAAACGTTCAACATAATTCTCCATTCGAAGCGCAACTTCTTGGGCTTTTCTCACTTCATTCAATTTCATTTACGTTAAAATTAACTCGTAGAAAGTGTGGACTTTTAGTGGGATTTTAATACTGCCACTAGCCTCAATTTCGCGACGGTAAACGTTGAACAACGGCTTGTCTACGTTCGTAGCGGAAATAGGTTCATCATCTGCTCTTTTAATAACATTTTCAAAATGTTCAACAGCTTCAAGATAACGTTCCAATTCCAACGAAAGTGACCCAAGCGACCGTTCTTCAAATATTGACAATTCGGCAGGCTCTTAAAACAGTTCCTGGATTTCGAACAAATTTAGATCATGGCTCATCTGCCGTTCGCAGGAATCTTGGTTTTCTATGTCACCTGTTAACGCTGTTGATCGATAAAGCGCATGCAGGGTTGCCACAAGGTTTTGGCCAAGGGTCAAATCCTCATCCAGTTCAAGGCATCGTTCATAACACTGAATGGCACCATCAAGATTACCTCTTTCGCGTTCCATTATCTGTCCCAACGAGCGGAAAATGTAATATTGATTTGCAAAACAATATCGTGCAAGGGTTGCGCATTGAACATGAAAGGGCTTGTCGAGAAATCCCTCTTTAGTTTGAAGCATTGCAAGAAATTGCATGAAGTATAACATTGATTCATCTCCTCTATCCATTTCCACTAATTCATATCCAGCTAAGTGCAAGCATGACATTTTCATTTCAATCAAGTCGGGTGAATGCGTTTCGTTCGTGTAGTATTTCAGTGCCAAGGAGTACTCGTTAAGCATGTAATACAATTTGAAAATATTTGCTGGAGATAACGGAAGTTCACAATTCTGAAGTCGCTTTCGGTCTTTATCGCTCAAAAGAGACAACAACTCGCGATGGCAGGCTTCGATAAGGTATGGGATACTGGAAGGACGTTTCCTGTCTATTGCATTATGAACAACTACTGGGTTAGCTGTCAGCTTCTCGCAGGCAGCGACTGCTTCTCTTTTCTTTCCCATTTCAACAAACACCCGGAACATTGTCCTACACATTTCGATCATCTCGGGTGATTGCGTCTCGTTCGTGTAGTATTTCAGTGCCAAGGTGTATTCGTTAAGCATGTAATACAATTTGAAAATATTTGCTCGAGATAACGGAAATTCACAATTCTGAAGTTGTTTTTGGTTTTCGTCACTCAAAAGAGACAACAACTCGCGATGACAGGCTTCGATAAGGTATGGGATACTGGAAGGACGTTTCCCGTGAATTGCATCATGAACAAATCCTGGGTTAGCTGTCAACTTCTCGCACGCAGATACTGCTTCTCTTTTCTTTCCCAATCCAACAAACACTCGGACCATTGTGCTGTACATACAATGTTCAACAGTTGACAATAGCTCGCCGTCAACTTCGACGCTTTTCTGTATGCCCGGACCATAAAAGACACGTGAAAAATAGGCACAATACACAGACTTATCCGACAATTCTTTACCTAAATTGTTCATATCCTGAAGCACAGCATCAGCCTCCGCAAAACGCTTTTGTTCACATAGAAAGTTGGCGTAGCTTAGATTCTTTTGAAGTACAAATTTCGCTGCTGAGTCTTGATCGGTAAGGTAATCATTAATGCTAAGGTAATAGTGTTCTGCAAGATTTAGCTCTTTGTTTCTATCAAAAGCTGAGTTAGTTGAATTTAGTTGGTGCATTTGGGCCAGATAAAGTAACATTCTGCCGCGATTGTTTATTCGATCTGTGACATTGTTATCCCCCATCAAATCGCATATTTCTAAACCAGTTTCTGCTACCACAATTGCTTCTTCAGTGCGCCCGAGGCCCATGTAGAGATTTGCCAATGTTTTTAAAAACTCGTAGACGTTGTTTAAATCATTGCCATGCTTTACCGACACTTCTTTACACATATCAAGAGCCTGTTGAAACGGAGAGCGACTTTCGTGACTAGTACCACTGGATTTGGTAACCGTAATTGCCTGCAGCAAAGGAAGCAATACTTCATAAAACAACAGCATATCGGGAAGAGCAGCTGAGAAAAACGCCAAGAGTGACTCACTCAGCCAAGTAGTAGATCGCTTTATTTTATCACGCATAACTAACACTCGACCAATCCATGAATATAGGCGACTAGATGTTTGTGCTGGCACAGATTCAAATTCGAATTCGTCGGCAATATTTATCAAAAATTCCTCCGTCACTTCCAAAGCTATATCTACTTTTTCTTTATTATGTAACTTTAGTAAAACGGCCGCCAACAACAGTTGCAGTTCAATTGACAAGACTAAAAATTTTCCAGATCCCGAGCTTCCGCGTTCTTCCGCTTGCTGATTGGCGTTCGTTCTCTGGCTCAAGATAAGAAGAGCTTGTTGACACAAAGAGGAAGCTTGGGAAAGCTTATCATCTTTACTTTCTGCACTTTCTGACAAAATATCTAGGCATTTTGCCCCAAGGTAAAGCAACTCTGCCGCTTGCAGCTGTAAGGATTCTCTATGTTCATGATCAGACCCCAGTTCTATCGCCTCTTGACATTCCACCCATGCACCTGCTACATTCTGGCACAGCGTCTCGGTTTTTATTAAAGCAATCAACACTTCTGCGTATTCACACAGGTCATCACGATTTTCCACTGTCTCCCTAGAATAAATGCCAGTGGCTTCATTTAAATTAATTGCAGCGGTTCGGAAATCGCCCCTGAAAAAATAACATTCCGCACGCAATTTAAGAATTTTGGTTTTTTGTCTCCAGTTAGATGGCAGCTGCAAAGCAAGATCTAAAGATCCAATGCCACTATTAAGTCTGTTGTCTTCCTTTGCTCTGATCGCGTCGCTGATTAACTTGTCAACACTATCAAAGGGACAGCTTTTATAAAAAGATAACTCATCAGCTTGAAGAGAAGCGTGTATTTTTACAGCCTGATGGACATTGCCTATCTTCCGGTTATGCTCGAGAGCATCTAACTGAAAATGTCGTTTTACTTCTAGGTTGGACAATCCTGAATTAAGTGAAGCATCATGAAATGATTCAAGTTCAACAGGGAGATTAATTTGGGACACTGTTTGCGTTGGAAGATCTACAGTCTTAGGATCCGAAGAGTCGATTTCTCGAGGCTTCACACCATCTGAATTTGGAATGAACAACTCTACATTTCCCCGACCATTGCTACAGTTCTCCAAAGTTTTTGAGTCTTCAGCCAAGTTATCTTGTCGCCACAAAGCAACATATGCTGTCGTAATAGAGTTGGAAAGTTTTAACACATCGAATGGTAATATCGTCTTCGATGGTAATATTTCTTTCATGATGTCGCACGTTGTTTTGAACGGTAGTTTTTCTCTTTCAACATTTTCCTGAATGTCTCTAAAAAACTGACTGGCCATCTGGATTAAAGTCTCGGCTTTTTCCAGGTCACCTGAAGCATAGAATAATATACCTAGACAAGTGAAACATCTGGCGGCGGCTGTTTTTGCGGTATTGTTTGTTGGAGCATTGTCCTTCTGAGCAGATAAAAAAAATTTGTAAGCACGTTCAGCAGTATCAATACTAACGGGATATGCCAAGGAACCAATGGCCAACCCAATCAAACTCTGGGCTATATATTCATGAAATGGGTTTGATAAATACAGATCCATCTCCATCCTTAGTAGAAGCTCTTTATACTTTATAGAGGCTTTCGTATCTCCTGTACTGAAGTACGCGTCCGAAAGCTCTTCAAGTATCTCGGCGACCGGCTCATTTGATTTATTTTTTCCGTATACTATTTCACTAATATTTAAAGTTTCCAACAAGAGTTTTATCGTTTCAGGTAAGTCGACTGACTTGTATCCTATAGCCAATAATAAAAACATGCTAACAGTTAACGAGTTAACTTGTCCGGTTGCTACATGTTGCCGTAATGCTTCAGCCGCGCGATCATAATGACTTCGCTGAGCCTGTATTCCAAATTCAGGGTTGACTGAGTCAATAGCGCAAGCCTTCTTCGCCAACTCTGCAAGACTCAGTTCTATTGAAACCTCCATAAACGGGGGTATCTTGGCGACGTTCGATAGCTCTTTGTACGTTCTTAAGGCTTCTTCTAAGCATTGTCGAGCACGACTGATGTAACCAAGACTTTCGCAGAATCTCCCCACATGCTGAACAAAATAAACTTTTTGGATACTCGCATGCAATTTTTTGGCTAAAATGAAAGTTTCATCCAAAACCATTTTTGCTTCAGATACCTTATTATCCATCATAATGACTTTTGAAAGGCCAAGACGACACTCCAACATGTCAAAAATATGTTTATTATCCCGCACATCAACCACAACCTCTAGCGCTTGTTTGTAATAATTCTCAGCATCTGACGCCAAACCTTGCTTAAAACAAAGTGTACCAAGCTTCATCAGACACAAGGCCCTTTCTCTCGTCTTAGACTGGGAAGTAAGTTTTTGAACTTCTTCCTTCAATATTTGAATTCCTTCATTTGTTTTCTGTATTTTAGCCAAGGTCTCAGCGACCAGACTAGTCATGTCTGCTCTGACTAATACTTCAACAATTTTTCCCAGGCAGGCTTTTCCATCCAAAGCAGACTTCCAAGCTTGCTCTTGGTTGTGTTGAGCATGCCATGTTATGGCGGCTAGTTTACAGTGGAGGATACAGTCTAATCTTAATTCTTCATCATTTCGGCTTCCTGTCGTTGCCTTTAAACCTTTCTCGAAGTATAGTAATGTACGTCTATTAATCATTAACGCACGTATTACGATTAGTTTATATTTAGAATATGGACATTATATATTCAGTTGTTTATATGTAGCCGAGATATCAAGAAGTCTATTAAATAAGAGAATATTATAATGGCGACGAAGATAAAGTAGATAAACGTATTCTATTAAACGAAACGATGGTGGAAGAACAGGCAGAGCCTCAACCACTGCAGCAACCGGCTGTACAGATCATGCAATCTGTAACAATAACTCCAATGCCAGAATTTTGCCCAGATGCAAAAATCGGAACAAGCCTTTCGACAAGATGGAACAATTGGCAATCAGACTTCGAAATGTATATAACCGCAAGTGGAATAACGGATCCAAAGCGAAAACGTGCACTCTTGCTATATCAAGCCGGACCGAGAGTTCGCGAGATTTTTAAACAAATCCCCGAGACAGGAACTGATACGGACTACAACATCGCGAAACAGAAATTAAAGGCTTACTTCGACCCTCAAAAGAATCGGCGGTACGAAGTTTATCGGTTTAGACAAACAACTCAAGAACACAATGAGACATTAGATCAATTTCACACCAAACTTAGAACAATATCAGAAACCTGTGAATTCGCAGACGTTGAATTTGAAATCGAAGAACAAATCATTATAGGCGGAAATTCATCAAAAATACGAAAGCGAGCACTGCGTGATCCTACATTTGACTTAAAATCAATGCTTTTAGAAGGACGTCGTGACGAGCAGAGCAAGTATCAAGCTGAACAAATCGAATCTAAAGAACAAACTGACGGTGAGGCTAATAAATTAGAACAAAAACCTAATAACGGTAATATTTCGAACAGTAGTAATGTTATTTGCAGAAATTGTGGGCGTGCTTATCCACACACAGGGGCATGTCCAGCGAAAGGAAAAACCTGTAATAATTGTGGAAAACCGAATCATTTCGCTGCTGTTTGTCGAGGAAAACAAAAACAAACGCGATCACCGAGATACACAAATAAAAAGCATGCACAAAGAAATTTAAAAACATTAGATACAGGATCAAACACGAGTTCCGATGAAGACTATTTATATACCATGACAAATACAAAGCACAATAACAAGGTCAATGTTAAAGTAGGCGGTGCCAAATTTCAAACAACAATTGACAGTGGCGCGACAATAAATGTGATCGATCGTGACACTTTTAACAAAATGCAAGACATAAAATTAACTCGCACGAGCACGAAAGCTTTCGCGTATAATACGAAATCACCAGTTGAATTTTTGGGAAAATTCGAAGCGGTAATCGAAACACGAAAACGAATATCTGTAGCCACATTCTATGTCGCTAAAACTGCGAACTGTGGAAACTTACTTTCTCTTTCTACTGCACAAGAACTCGGACTTATTAGTTTGCATCTAGACAAACTGACATCAAAGGATGCCGCACTAGAAAACATCCTTCAAAAGCATTCTAAAGTTTTTTCCGATCTTGGAAAATTGAAGGGAGAAAAAATTAAACTAGATATAGACAAAACTAAAATTCCGAAAGCACAACCTCAAAGGCGCATACCCTATCACATTCGAGAAAAAGTGAAAACGCGATAACTGAATTAGAAAATCAAGATGTGATTGAAAAAGTGCCCGAAAATGAAGCTACTCCGTGGGTTTCACCAATTGTAGCTGTTCCCAAAAAAGATGGACAGGTTCGCATATGTGTCGATATGCGGCTCGCAAATGAAGCTATAAGACGAGTACGCCATCCTATACCAACAGTAAATGATGTTAGTTTTGCCCTGAATGGAGCAAAATTTTTCTCGAAACTTGATTTGAGCCAAGCGTATCATCAGTTAGAACTGGACGAACAGTCTCGTTATATAACAACCTTTAGCACTCATGTAGGTTTGTATCGCTACAAAAGACTAAACTATGGTACAAACGCTGCAGCGGAGATATTTCAGTACACACTCCAAACCGCACTGCAAGGGCTAAAAGGCGTCAAGAACATAGCTGATGATATCATTGTATTCGGCTCAACAAGAACTGAACATGACGCTAATCTTGACAAATGTCTACAACGAATTGCAATGAAGGGCTTACGACTAAACCGAAGCAAGTGTAATTTCCTTAGCACTACATTGTCATTTTTCGGACAGGTCTTTTCGAAAGAAGGTACTCATCCTGATCCTAGGAGAGTAGCTGATCTATTAAATGCACCTTAGCCAAATAATGCACATGAAGTCAGGAGCTTTCTTGGCATGGCCAACTATAGTAGTAAGTACATTCGAGATTTTGCAACACTAACTGCTCCCCTTCGTGACCTGACGAAAAAGGATGTTCGTTTTGAGTGGACTCAAACACACCAAACTGCTTTTGAAAAGCTGAAAAACACGCTTGCAATTGCTCCATGTATGTCATATTTCGACAAAAACAAACAAACTTTTGTGACAGTTGATGCTAGTCCTGTAGGAATTTCTGGGATTCTTTCTCAGAAACCAAGAAACGGTGACGTAGACAGTCAACAGATAATTGCATATGCCAGCCGAGCGCTGACTGATACAGAAAAGAGATACTCCCAGACGGAAAAGGAAGCGTTAGCGATAGTATGGGCAGTTGAACATTTCCATTTATTTTTATTGGGAAGTGAATTTACACTAATAACTGACCATAAACCTTTAGAAATTATTTATGGCCAACGTACAGCCAAAACATCTGCACGAATTGAAAGATGGGTGCTTCGCCTCCAACCATATACATTTAAGATAATCTATAAATCAGGTGCCAGCAACCCTGAGGACTATCTTTCCCGTCATCCAACAAACGAAAGCAAACGAAAACAGGAGAAGATGACGGAACAATATATTAATTTTATAACTGAGAACAGTGTCCCTAAGGCGATGACATTACAAGAAATAATCAATGCAACTAACGCAGACGCGGCACTAACAGCACTCCATGATGCAATTAAAACAAACAA